TATCAGCAGTCAGTTCGAAAAGACCCGGAAGGTCAGTGGTCCTCGTGCCTTGCAACCGTCCCAGTTCGGAATGCTGTGCCCTGCAGATACTCCCGAAGGTGAAGCATGTGGTTTGGTCAAAAATTTGGCCCTCATGACACACATCACGACCAATGACGAAGAAGGGCCGGTGCGAAATTTGATTTTCATGCTTGGCGTCGAAGACATATCGAGTGTTGGTGGACAGCAGCTCTATGCTCGGGGCGCCTACACTATTTCCATTAACGGAACACCGACTGGTTTGACCAGACGTCCCAAGTCTTTCCTCAATGCTTTCCGAAGACTGCGCCGCATGGGCCGAGTTTCGGAATTTGTCAGTATTTACATCAATCACCACCAGCGAGCCGTTCATGTGGCGACCGATGATGGACGAATCTGCAGACCCCTTATCGTCGTTGAGAATGGCAAATCCCTTGTCGGCGTGCATCACCTTGAGAAGTTGCGTGATGGAAAAATGGAGTTCGACGACTTCCTCGCGCAAGGGCTTGTTGAATACCTCGACGTGAACGAGGAGAATGACTCCTACATCGCTATCTACGAGAAGGATATCTCAAATACTCACACGCACCTTGAGATTGAACCCTTCACAGTCCTTGGAGCCGTTGCCGGCTTGATTCCCTATCCTCACCACAACCAGTCCCCGCGTAACACTTATCAATGTGCCATGGGTAAGCAAGCTATTGGCGCCATTGCTTCCAATCAGTTCCAGCGAATTGATTCCATTCTTTATCTCATGGTATACCCACAAAAGCCAATGGTCAAATCAAGAACTATCGAGCTCACAAAGTACGACCAACTACCTGCCGGTCAGAACGCGACTGTTGCTGTGATGAGTTATTCGGGCTACGATATTGAGGATGCTCTAGTCCTGAACAAGGGATCCGTGGACCGTGGCTTTGGACGTTGCCAGGTCTTCCGCAAACAGGTCACGACGCTGAAGAGTTACCCCAACGGAGCCAAGGATTCTCTCAGAGCGCCGACGTACGAGAATGGCGCTCCAATCCGCAAACACGCCCTTCTCGAGTCCGATGGCCTGGCTGCTGTCGGCGAAATGGTCAACTCCGGCGAAACCTACATCAACAAAGTCACACCCCGTGTACAAAATTCCTTGGGAATCACTGGCTCCGACATTGGTGGTGGAGATGTTATCGAGGCATCCATGACCTACAAGCTGCCAGATCCTTCCTACATCGACAAGGTCCTGGTATCTGCCACTGAAGGTGAGACGCAAATCATCAAGGTCCTGACCCGGCAAACCCGTCGCCCCGAGGTCGGCGACAAGTTCTCTTCCCGTCACGGACAGAAGGGTGTTGTTGGAATTATTGCAGACCAGGCGGACATGCCCTTCTCGGACCAAGGAATCAACCCTGACATTATCATGAACCCTCACGGTTTCCCCTCTCGAATGACAGTCGGAAAGATGCTGGAGTTGGTCGCTGGTAAAGCAGGTGTTCTGTCCGGCCAGCACGGCTATGGCACTTGTTTCGGCGGCAGTCCCGTCGAGGAAATGTCTCAGATCCTGATTGAAAAAGGATTTAGTTATGGTGGCAAGGACTATCTCACTTCCGGTATCACGGGTGAGCCTCTGCCTTTCTATGTCTTCACTGGTCCCATCTACTACCAGAAACTGAAGCACATGGTACAAGATAAGATGCACTCACGTGCTAAGGGTCCCACTGCTACTCTCACCCGTCAGCCTACCGAAGGTCGTTCACGTAACGGAGGTCTGCGTCTCGGTGAGATGGAACGTGATTGTTTGATTGCGTACGGTACCAGTCAGCTGCTGCTGGAGCGCCTGATGATCTCGTCTGATCGTCACGAGGTGGATGTATGTGAACAGTGTGGTTTCATGGGTTATTTGAACTGGTGTCCTGGGTGCAAATCGTCTCGTTCCGTTGTGAAGATGGTTATTCCCTATGCTGCTAAACTTCTCATTCAAGAACTGATGAGTATGAACGTTACGGCTCGTCTGAAGCTTGATGATGAGTTCCCCGAGATGAAGGGACGTTAAGCTCTGGACTTGGCTTTGGGTTGATCGGAGTTTGGGAAAATCAAAATGGGATGTGTGCATACTTGGTCTTACGAATGAATGGCATAGCGCGGCGATTTGATATCATCTTTACCCACATGTTCTTTTTTGTAGTATGTAGCTGGAGGTCAATACAGTGCATGGGATCGACAGAGCCAGCTTGGCGGTAATCATAAAAAACAAAATTTCATTCTAGAAAACAAGCGGAGGAAACGGGAGAAAAATGACAGCACATTAGAGCATCAAAACATTTGACTCAAAAGCCACGTGCTGATAGCGAGTAAACTCTCCCATCTCCTGCAAGAGCTTGACCCTTACATCCAAAGCCTCCTCCAGACTCATCGGCATATCACCCTTGGACTTCATATTATCAAGCGCCACCTTTTGCAGAGCTGCCTTGAGCCCTTCCCCAGTCTCCGGCACCTCCTTAGTCCAATCTAGACGCTGCGGTGGAATATTGGCCGTGGAGATGATACGGATATTAGGATCGACAAGGAAAAACGCCATGGCGCGCGCACACCCAGGCTTAGACTTGTCCTTGAGTTCGAAGCGCGTGAACTTGTGTTGTATAGTGGTCGGGTACATGACGACTCGGCCTATTGTGGCGCGGATAGCACCTGGGTATTGGATGGCTGGTTCACCGTTTTCCAGGCCGAAGACTTGCCGGAGCCAGATGAAGTCATTTGGCTCGTGCTCGATTTCTGCGAGCGTGTCGGATTCTACCATGGTGCGGAATTCCATGTACGGATCTAGTACGTTGTCGTGGCTGTATGATATGAATGCCGCGGCGCAGATGTGCTCGTTCTGGTTTATGTTTTAGAATTGTCAAGTACTGCGCGGCTCATGGAGCTTTCGAACTCACCATCGTGCCCTCGACATGCCAGTCCGTCTCGAAACATGGATCCTCTGGAGTCAGATCAATGCCTAACAGACGTGTGATCACCTGTAGCCCACGTCCCTTGTAGTCCCGGTTGAGATCAACACCTCGTTCAATCCGAACGGCACTGGGAAGGTCCTCGGGCAGCTTGTCCATCAACCAGGGTGGGACTGCCCAGGGAATGAACTTGCCTGCGTCGGGTTGGATCGCACGGTAGTTCTCCATCCCCCATTTCTCCACGCGCTCGTCAAACTCACTCTGAGCCTCTCTTGGATGCATCTGAGGTATCTGGGCAGTAACTTCCTTCGGAACTGGGTAATACTCAGCCTTGTGGTATTCGATTCGAGCACGGGAATGGAGCATGTCCTTGAGGGGAGTCAAAGTAGCGTTCCACTGCGGAATGATACAATTGAAAGTCTTCTCGATGAGCTTGTAGATGTGCCGAAATTTGACTGGGTGAAGGTTGTTGATATATGTTGCTATGTGCCACTGGCCGTCATCGCGGAGTTCCCAATCTGAGGGAAGAACCTGGTAATTTCGGCTATAGGGCCGAACCTTGACATCTGCCCGAGCTAAAACACGCCAGGTAATATCTTCTCTGGTTATTCCAGTCTCTTTTGGTATTGGAATCACTTCGCCCTGCCCGGCGTACTTGAGGGCATCATCGACCCCAATGATCCTGTCGGTGAGAATGCGGGTCGTGCCGTAAACGAGTGGGTACAATGCCATGGAAATGAGGTCTCGTTCTTTGCCTAATACTCCTGGATAGTAGTATTGCAGTTCTTGCTTATCGAACTCTAGTACCTCGAACTGGGATCTCATCTCGCGCAAGATCGACTCAGGCACGTTTGTGTCAGACTTGGTGACATCGCCGTTGTACAGGGCGACTACACCAGTGGTCTCGTAGATCATGGCTTTGAATTGGAGCTCGTCAATTATCCATTCAGCCATATTGAGTGTAATGTCTTTGCCACTATTCATGGCAGCCTTTTTCCACTTCTCTTGTGTGCCGGGCTCAAAGACCTAAAACGATTTCAGCGGAATGACCAGCCCTAGTTGTATTGAGGACCACTGACCTTTTTCCACCACTCAGGAATATCAGTCAGATACTCCATGAACTCTACCATATGGATCTCACGGAGGGTCAAGACAGGCATTCTAGGGGAAAGTTCAGCATTGAGCACCTCTCGGGTCTTGGAGTCCTGCACTGACTCTACGTATCCTGCTTCGATATCTCTATCATCCGCTGCAGATGGAAACATACTCCGACTTTCGACGCCATATATGTTTTTCTCGATCGGAGCAAAGTCCAGCGGCCGGTTGAATCCCGGAAGAGCGAAGCGGCAGTCTTTCTGTGCCTTAGCATTGAGAAAATTCGCCTCGCTGGCCTTCTGTTGGAACATTGTTGCGTTCATTAAAGAGCGGTGTGCCAAGGAAACGTCCTCAGGGGGGGAATGATGGGATGATCTATTTTGCTCGGTCAGAATCACACTGGGCCAACGAAGGACGCCAAAGCCTACTTCAAAGAGGCTTATGTTGCATTGACCTGCACAATGTCAGACACAAGCACCAATATATGTGGAAGATGATGATTGGAATGAGAGAAGGCTGAAACAAGTGAAGCCGAAGACATTTAAAACGAGTGCCAAAGTAATGATGCAGGGGTGTCGTCGTCTTCAGGGTACATCGCAATGGCTGATGCCCTCCGGAGGGAGCTGTGCGGAACTTGGCTCCGGGCCTTTCGGCCACTTGGCTGTAACAATGGGCATATGAGCAGTGGATCGTGGGGAATCGGTCATGGTGATTCAATCCCCACCATGGAATTGCAAAACTTTGCTCTTTGATCAAACAACTCGAAGGTCCGACGGAAATCAATTCCTCCATGGCTGTTCTTTGCACCTATATAATCACGGGCGGAAGACTTGAAGGGGAAAAATACCTATGCATGGAGGCAAGCATACTATATACATGGTTATCGCACAGCATGATGTTCATCAGGTTACCCTCTAGTCTTCCAGAGACCAAAGCAAAACTCAAGAGGAAAGAATCCGGTAATCACACCGACACCAAGTCTCCCAAATACTCTCTAACAATACCCCAATACCGATCGGGCTCGGCTCTCATATGTCCAACATGAGGGGAGTTCTTGAACGATTCACGGCGCACCGCCCAACCCTCAGCCTCGGCGTTCGCAGCATGAGATTCCACATCGCGCCAGTCCACCAAGTCATCCGTATCTGAGTAGATATAGCATCGACTGAGAGTCCCGCCCGAGTGTGCAGCTCGCATCAAGGACGTATCATTGATGAGCTTCCGGGCGAGGGAGATCGGATCTGGAAACATGGGAAAGGAATGGATCAACTTGAAGAGAACCAAAAAAAAAAAGAAAGCTCTTGCCAAGTAGCCGCAAGATCCACATCCGCGGAAGAGCAAAGGAGAAAGCCTTAAGTCCCGCTCGTAGGCTCGGACTGCCTGGTGCACTATCTAGGATCATTCCCGACAAGGGCAATGGGGTCCCTGTGGCATTCTTCCAGGTTTGTAATAGGTGTGTCGTACTCGACATCCCTCCGTTTGAGAAGAAGTGTACAAAGACTGGATTCTCAGGGGTCACTAGACCGCGCATTGCTTCCACTGCTGGGGCGACGCGAGCTCTCCGGCTCTGGGTCCCTAGGCGCCAGATGAAGTCATTTGATGAGCTTGTGACGAACATAATTCGCGCTGATGGTACTAGCCGTCTGTACTCGACCACGTATTTTGCTAGGGCGCGCGGGGGTGCATTCATCCAAAAAGCCAGGAATATCACTGGCCGATCTGCCTTCTCGTTTGAGTTGGAGGGGTCTTGGAGATAGACTGACGGGGCCAGTCTGACAAATGCCGGCAAAGGGATTTCAGTTGAAGTAGTCATGATGCAATCCCGAGTACCTGGCCTAAGGTCAATATTGTCGTCGACCCGAAGGCGCGTGGACGGCGATCCCTGGCTTGCCAAGAGCCGTGCGCACTAGTCAAACTATACGATGCCGTTTCTGACCACCAGAATTTGAATTTATGTGTAGGCATGTGTAGTAGACATGCTTGATTGTTTCGAAGAATATGCCAAAATCCTTAGCCCTCAGAGTGTTGTCAAATTTCCCGATATCCTGAGTTTCGGAATCAAAAGAACTGCAAAAGGATACCACTGGCTCGTTGACCAACGATAGAACCCGAAGAATGGAACTACCTATGAGATATATAAAGATACTAAGGTTTATTGCAAGGCCTTTTATGTATTCAAGTGAAAGTAAACAACTCCTCAAACGCCATGTTGAACCTTGCTATGCCCTTGAAGGAAATCCTGCCGAAGAGTCTGGAGATTTCGCCAATATCTAAAAGCCCGGGATAATCATGAAACCATGGTTTGAGATAGATCATTGCAGACATTAGCGCTTCCCCAAAGTTCGACCACCACCGTCGGACCTTTTACTATTCTCCTTGCTCTTTTGGCTTTCAGTCTCACTTCCCGAGGCGGTAGTAGAGTCGGACAGGTCCTTTCGCTTCCCACGCAGAGTCTGCCCAATTCCTTGGAATTTGGGTTGGTCATCTGGGACAACTTGGCCATTCTCATCACGAGGTTTGACCGGTTTGATTGCATATCCGAAGAAGAGCTGATTGGGTGGGAGTCGAAGCGGTTGCGGGCCATTGGTTCTTCGGGTTGGAGGTGGATGTGAAGAACTTGAGGCACTGGGAGTAGGAGTGGATGGGTTAGGCGTAGGAGTCTTGCTGCCCTTCTTAGCATTTAGACGTTGTCCTCCAGACAAAAAGTTGGATGATGCCGCACGGGCACCTGCGGCAGCATCAGTGGCCTCGGGGGCAATGGCGGGGTAGTTGATCGCTTGTGCCATGGTGCCATGGGGGTGCAATAGCCCGCCAGCTGGAAGTTTTCCGCCGCTAATGACGCTACCAGGTGTGCTGGTTCCGCTAGTGCGCTGTGGTTCTTCGAATCCAACCGGAGCGGCGAAATCAACCTCCAAATCCGTCTCTAGAACTGACACAGCATTCTTTGTCCCGGAGGGTTTTGTTTCCAGCACTGCCATCTCATATACTTGATCATTATATGAAAAAGTGAAGACATCGCCTTTGGAAAGGCATGAGAAGTTCCTGAAGGCGTTCTCTAGTACAGCTTTTGGGTCACTAATATCGAGGAAGGAGGTTGACTGTGCTTGAAGTTTGATGAACTGGCCAGGAGGAAGGTCTGTCGATTTGATTTGAAGAAGGTCGCCAGGTTCCAGTAGTAATGTTTGCATCAGCTATAGAGGAACAAGTCTTAGTTTAGTCACGGTACATTGAGGAGTCTGTCTTACTCACCCAGAATGGCAAATATATCTTTCCTTCTTCAGCGATGAACTCAAGGACACCCGCATGTGTCATCTTCTCTTTTGCACCATTGTGAAGCTCAAACAACATCGGATAGGTAATGTGGAGTCGGGTAAGCTTGTCTAATGCGCTGGGAGGCATGATGACCTTGCCGCCATGGTTCACATTTTCTCTTTCGGGACCAGGAAGCATCGCAACTGGATAGCAGCGATAATATTCATCAAAGCGACGGGACGTAGCACCTGGGCGTGCCATGCCGGCACCTAGGACTCCATCCATAGGGTCGTCGGACCAGTAACCGGGTCGGTACTAAAGCTGTTAGTCAGGAGGGGTGAAGACTCAGAAAGAAAGATAAAGAGCTTAAATTGACTCACCATCTCAAGTTCTCGGGGTTCAAAGACTAAAGATGGGTAAAGAGAAAGTTGTTGAGAGATCGGGTTTATTTGAAGTACAATGCCGCTCTCTGGATCGCCGTCAGTGACGCAGCTTGCTCCGCCATGATTTTCCGCTCCGACCCCGGACAAGGAAATCAGCTCTCTCTGAGATGATTTACCCTTCAATTTCGTGCAACATTAAACTTTTCATCTCTTTTCAACTGAACTCCCTAATCAAGACCCATGTCGAGCTCCTTGCCACGCGCCAAGCGCGCAGGCGAAGATTTCGCCAGTAACCACTACAATGACGACGGCGAGGACGCAGAGCACAAGAAACCCCGCTTCGACCTTCGCAACCCCTCAGCTCTTGCAGCTGATGCGCCTGAAGAGGACGCAGTACTAGATGCGGACGAGATTGGCAGACGTGGCCAGAGAATAAGACGCAAGGCAGTTAATCTCGAAGGTTATGATTCGGACAGCGAGAACGAGGGGTTTTCTGCGCACACAGAAGATAAACCCAAGCGCAAGCAAGCTAAGGAAGACGCAGAAGACGATGACATGTTTGCCGAACTTCAAGAAGACTTTGGCGAAGAGGAAGTCGACGGTGACGAGGTTATAAACAAGAACAAGAAGTCTGTTCGCTTCCTACGAGACGATGAAATCGAAGGCCAAGTCGCTTCTTCAAAAGGCGGAGGAGCGCTGCATGTCAATTTGAGCAAGGGTGCAGCCGAGATCGTTGAAGAGGAAGATGAAAGCGGTAGTGAGGTCGGGGAAGAGGAGCGCGCCCGAGTTGACGAAGATGTGGACGAGGAACTTGGCGCGGGTGGGAAGAAAAAGCATGCACCTCTACTGGATGCTTTCAATATGCGAGCAGAACAAGAGGAGGGTCGATTTGATGACCAAGGGAACTATGTCCGCAAAGCAATAGACCCCGATGCGGCCTACGATTCGTGGTTGGAGGGTGTTTCCAAGAAGGATATCAAGAAGGCCAAAGAGGCTGCTGAGCAACGTGATGCAGAGCGCAAAGAGAAGGATCGAATGGACGACAGCATCTTGACAGCGGATGTCCTGAAGACGATCATCACTCACCTCGAACGCGGCGAAACAATACTCGAGGCACTGGCCCGACTGGGCAAAGGCCTTCACAGAAAGCCTAAGTGGCAAAAGAAGAAGAACAAAAAGAAGGCTGTCGAGGATATTGAGATGACGGATGAGGACCCCAGCGAGGTGGCTCGGAAGAAGGCAATTGATTCTATTACTGGTGCCGCCGATATTCTGATGGGCCGTGGCCAAATTGATATTTACGACACGGAGCGCGAAATGCTCACCCGGCAGTACCGCAATGATACGGGCGAGGACTGGATTGACCCTCCTGCAAACGCGGTGACTGAGCAAGGTCCTGCCATGTGGGAATATCGGTGGTCCGACGCCAGGGATGGAGGGGATGCCCATGGGCCATATGATAGCGCCATGATGGACTCATGGAAGAATGCGGGCTACTTTGGCGAAGGCGTTGAGTTCCGTAAAGTTGGAGATTCAGGGCCGTGGAGCGGCACTGTCGATTTCCTGTAACATAACCACTCCATATCGGCTACAAAATTGCCTTGGCTACACAGAATATTGATGAATGGAATATTAATACCAGATCCTCCAGAACAGAGGACTGCAATTGAATCTCAAAGGCCAAAATTACCTCAACATGCGCCAGTCCTATCATACATCGTGTGATGCGACAAAATAAAATAATAATCAAGATCCAGTGTAGTTTTTTCGACCCGCTTAACTGCCCACCGAATAGCCCAGTAGTAAAACATGCAACCTAATCAAGAAAGCTCCATGGCGTCGCCATTGGTAGCAGCGGTGAAACTAACGGTACCTTGGTCACCAATGAAGCGCTGTTCATATTGATTAACGAACTTCACACTCCGAGCAGGGTCGTAGAACAATCGGTAGCTGCGCTGGACGTCATCAACGCTGACCTCCTTCGCCTTGCGTTTTTGACTCAAAAGGTGCGAAGTGGTAATAATGTTACTGGCATAACGCAGATTAGACTCCTGACCAATTTTGGTAAGAAGGGCGAGAGCATCAGGCGAGAGGTCGATTTCTTCTTCCTGCGCTCGGATGGCGAGAATTTGACGGATCTCATCACCAGAGTACATCTGCGTGCTGACGATAACAACGCGATCGAGAAAGTCAAGGGGTAGACCGTGGGGAGATGTATAGGTAGTTCCGCGGATGCGTGACTGACCACGATTGCTAGCCATGATGACGATAGGGGCCAACTCAGCCTCAAGGGCACGGTTGATGTAGGAATAACACTCAATATCGAGCATGTGAACCTCGTCAATGAACAGGACACCAGGAATAATCTCTGCTTTGCCCTCTTCTTTCCATTCAGCAACCTTGGTATTGATCTGGTCCCGAACTTCACTCCGAATCTCACCCGTATCGCCGGAGAACAGGGCTAGGAAGCCTTGTGAACGCGAATTAATGACATCGATCTCATGGAGGCTGACGGTGTGGACGATCTCCTTGCGAACCTGAAGCTCGCCTTCGGGGCATTGGACAAACTTCGTATCGGCGCCCATGGCATCGTAGTCTCGAGAGCGTGCGTATGAGCGACCGAGCTTGGTGATCTTGCCGGAGGACTTATCGATCGAGATCACATCTCCTGCCATGACTCGTTCCTTGGTCATCGAATCAATCATCTTGGTTCCCATGTCGTAAATCGTTTCCATGTCCGTGGTCTTGATTGTGAGCTTTCCTTGTTTATTGCCCTGCAGGCAGTTAGTATCAATTGTCATTGATTCATGTTGTGAGAAGAATCCACTCACACCAGTAACACTTCGGTCAATTTGAATCTCCACAACTTCACCCTCAATGATTTCGCTCTCTTCCTTGATGCGCACACCAATAGACTTCCGGAACGCCTGGGTCAGGGCTTCTGTTTTCGACATTTCCATTGAGAAAATTTCAGAAGCAGCAAGCATGGTGAAAGGTACATCGGGTCCGAGAGATTGTGCCATTCCCATTGCAATTGCTGTCTTTCCAGTGCTAGGAGGTCCTGCGATAAGAACGGCGCGACCGGCAATCTTGCCTTCCCTCACCATCTGCAAGATCACTGCGGCGGCTTTTCGGGCCTTTTCCTGACCCACAAGACCTTGAGATGACGCTCGAGGCTGAAGAGTGTCTGCATCGACACCAAGACCTCTAATATGGGAATGGGCGGCGATGAGGTTCAGACCCCGGAGCTCCTTGCCCTCTGCGATAGTCGAGATTGGCTGTTTAGGTGTTAGCGACCATGGGAATATGATAGAATTAGTGTAACTCACCACAGCCATGGTTTAAAAATCCCAGACAGAGATGTGTTTTGAGCTGAAAGATGATGTTGGTAAAATGCGCCAGAGCTCTGGAAAAGCAAAAGAAGAGAGACAGCCAGGGCAGATTGCAGATCGAAATGCCCCGTCACCGCTCGGCAAAATAATTGCTCAAAGAAATGTGAACCCGTTTGTCTTCATTTCCACTTGTCATATCTCCGTCAGTTGCACCAATTTCGCAAATTTAGTCCTCGTCGCGTCTTTCTCTGACTTTTCCAGCTCCCTTGACTATCCCAAAGGGAACCAATTAGGCGATTGCACAATACCTACACCTACACGTCTCATTCCCCACGAACAAGTTTTCGCGTAGTGAACGCGTAACTCACTATTGCAACCCCTGGGTATCCTTCCAGGGCTCATGCTACATTGAGCAAGCGAAAATGCGCAATATGTGTTCGTTCTAGGACTTTGGCGCAGACTGCATAACTCGAATCAACCTTCCAAGCGCCACTTCACTTCTGCTGCAAATACGATGAGGATTTTGCAATACATTCATACTAGGGAATATGGCCAGCAGAATGAATATTGATTCTCCTACCACGAATCCCGTCAAGCGGCTCTCGGGTCGATTGTTCCCGTCCTCTGTGCCACCTTCGACTAAGGCGCAAGATCCTCGGCTTGCCGGTACAGCTAGGCATTTCATTGATCCTCAATCTTCAAACGCCCAAAAAGTACACCCCATCACTCCCGCAAAGCCTGCCTTAGCCACGAGACCTTCTACAAACTCGCTCCCACAAGTGCCTCCACTGTCGATCCCGAACAGCGCCCCGGGCTCTAAGTCCGCAGAAAGCCAAAGTGCGCCTAATCAGCACAGTGCATCTTTTATCTCCGATTTAGTCAATTCATTGATCAAATTGAACAAGGGCGAGGAAGAAAAAGAGAGACTTCAAAAGGAGATAGCTTCTATCAACAAAAACTTACAGAGGGCGAAGCAATCTCAGCAATTTCCGAGCGTTATCGCTCTCTTTCAGCAGCAACTGGACGCAGCCAAGAATGAACTGGCTAACCATGTCAACTCGATTGCGCAGCATCGATCACTCTCCAAGCAGGCACATGATGATTTTACCTTGACATTCTCGCAGTCGAAGTTTCAGCCTCAGCTCGAGAACATACCCGAGAGGGTCGCGAGGCTAGAGTCCACGTTTGAAGGGATGGCACAACGTCCTGAACCAACCTCCGGTGGGGAGGATTCAACGAAAGAGAATATCGAAACCGGGTCTGCTCAAAAAGGCATGCGAAACCCAGATATCGTTAAACTCGAAGCAAACCTACGCGAAGTGCAGCATGCTATTAATAACCCCAATGGACTTTCAGAGGTACTGGAGTACTTGAAGAAACTTGGGAACACAGTCGCCCATCAATCCAGAAAGATTGGTCAATCCACAACGCAAATTTCACAGCTTGGGGATGAAGTGAAAGGTGTTGACAAGAGGCTTGATGACAAGATTGCTGCGTTTAAGCAGATGGTGGACATCGTCGAAGAAGATTTGAAACTTTCCAACGAGCAGCTTGAGACCAAGATTTCTGATGCTAATTCGAAATTGAAGACTACGAATGAGCAGTTTCAAATCAAACTTTCCTCCATTGAAAGCGATCTCCGATCCCTCGATACTAGGCGAAATAATTTCAATGATCGCGCCGGGACTCAGGTTTCACAAATTGAAACTGATTTGGAAGCTCAAAGGAAGGAGACCATGGAGCAGATCACTGCCCAAGAAAATCTTGTGGCCTCACTTCGAACCCAGCAACAAAATATTGACAACGGTGGCCGAGGTTCATCAGAAGAAATTCCAAGGCCCAATGGCGGGGTGCTTGCAAGATTAACGTCTCTGGAAAAGAAAATTCAGGGTCATGCAGACCTTCTTAACGTTATCAAGAACCTCCACGAGGAGGTGGATGTCCTTCGTCTGTCCGAGTTGAATACTTTCCGCCAGAGTCAAGAGTCGAGCCAAGCAACACTGGAAGCAAGACACGATGCGACTTTACAAAAGGTGGAGGACCTGGCTAAAAAGTCTGAGGAAACGACCAGGAACCAGACGGAACTCTCCACCGATATCAACCAACTTAGGTCGTCCTTGCCAGCGACGTTGGAGCCATTTCAAAAACAACCTCAAGATGTGCTGGATGGATACGAAAATGGTCTTGCTCCAGTTGCCGGCCTCACTCAGGCTCTAAAAAAGTGCGAGGAAAAAGTGGATACTCACGCCAGGGCCATTCGGTCACTAGAACAACGATACAGCAACATCACCACAGGCGACTTAGTCGATCGTATGGCATGTGCCATGCAGAGAATGTACCCCTCTGTTGATCAACTAAGTCGACAATTGGTGGCCCATCAAACTGATATTGAAGCCAGAATTTCTGCGCTCAAAACAGACACAGACGCGTTCAAAGCGGACACAGAGATGTTTAAGGCAGATACGAACCAATTCAAGGCAGATACAGCAAAGGCTCAGGCAGACGCACAAAACGCCCAGGCCAGCGCAGAGAGGTCTCAAGCAACACAGATGTCACCAGCGCAATTCCAGACTTTGACTCAATTGCCAAATTTGCTTCAACAGGTCAAAGACCTCTCTGATAAGCTTGTACCGATCGAGACACTCATCCAAGCCCACAGTGTCGAATTGCAGAAAAACCTTGAACTGCGGAGCGAATTACTCAACAAGGTCATCGCTCAAGATGACACTATCGGAGGCATTGCTCAAAAGGCCGATGAGCGCGTGGAAGAGCTCGAAACCCTCACCATGTCCACGGAACGGATCGGTCCGTTGATCGCGGAGGTCAAGGACCAACTCTCGCAAATACAAGAGGTTCGACAAGAAGTCGACAGGTTGACCCAAGCCGCGGAGGAGAGCAATGCTACCCCATCGACCGATCTTGACGACCTCCAGAGACGACTGAGAGATTTGGAAGATCAGAAAAAGTGGATGACGCAGCTCTTGACTCATTTCGGAATAAGCTGAAAGACTGCGAAGACCGAAACAAGACGGATGATGCAGGTCTTGAGGAACTCCGAGAACAGCTTCGAGACTTGGAAGATCGGAACGCAACCAAAGATAACGTTTTTACCGAACTCCAGGAACAGCTGAAAGCCCTTAAAGACCAGATCCATCCTGTGTCATTGGAGCAATTTAATGATCTGAAGGAGAACGTGAACATGTATCTCAAACGTCTAAGGACGGCCGAAGACACTTTCAAGGCACTCGGAAAAGAAGTAATGGATTCCGATGCTAAAGAAACAACGGATTCTGAGACTCACGATAAACCGATGGAGCAGCGCATCGATGGATATGAAAGTGCTCAGTCACAATCAAATGGGCGCGCTCTTACTCCAAAGCCTCCTGCAACACCAAAGACAGTCATCCCCAAGGGCCCTAGTCTGGGTGGATACCAGCCAGTTCAGCCTCATGGGAAGGATCAGGCCAATAATTCCACAGTAAGCGCTCAAAAGACAAAACACTCTGCGACGCAAGGTCGACAGCCGTCGCAGGCGCCTAGTGTCACTAGCAACAGTCACACCTCACTGTATGATGGCAAACCTGTCGAACCCCGTCAGGTCCAAAATCTGAAAGGAAAGCGACGAGTACTCTCTATAATAGACTCCGATGAAGAGAGGAGCACACCTGAATCCTCTTCGGTGGTCGGGTCTTCTCCGGCTTCTAGCTCTTCTGCCCCGGCGCATTTTGGCCAGGGCCCCAGCAGAAAGGAAAAGAAGAAGGCGAAGAAGAGAGCGGAGCTGGCCGAAGAGAATTCCAAGGCTTCAAGCAGACCGGGCAAGAAGCGAAAGCGAAGCAAGCAGGATGAATGAGCCGGTTCAGACCTGGTCTCGTCAATCTCTTGTTCTCCATATCTGTCGTCGTGCATCTCTTCAACCCCCTCCGTCCCCAATTACGACTCGCCATGCAAATCATCGATATCTACTCCGTACGCGAGTCAGCTTTAGAAGCATTATTAGATACGTTTTCGCCACTCGGTAGGCTCAAAGCCTAGTCGGCGATTTACTACCTATCCACTCAAATCGATATTACTCAGCACACCCTTGGGTGAATTATTATTGTACATGAGATTTACTACACATACGTCTAAAATCCAAAATCACGTGACATATACATATCCCCAACTATGCCGACTCTAAAAACTTTACGACCGCTATTATCATCGTGTAAGCATAAGATATTATCGATTATTGTTGAGAAGAGGGAATTACCTTGCCGAAAGGCTTCGGGATTCTCGGAAATGAGCCAGTGACCCGCTTCGACGTCCACAATTTGCGCGTTGGGGAAGAACTTCTTGATGGCCGGTATAGTGTCATCCGAAACATATTTCGACTTGGTGCCACGGACAAAGAGCGTCGGACCGTTGTATCGGAGGTTCTCAGATTCCTCAAAAGGGAAATCGGCCATATGATCCAATGAACCGCCGATGACAGATAGCGGCACTCGGAACTTAAGTGTGTTATCTTCCTCGGAGCGTATCAAATTGGTAAGAAGAAATTGGCGGATTGGAAGAGACTGGGCAGTGTTAGCATGCCAAATATTTTCCGGAAGGTGTTTCGCTTATGGCCACACTCTCTCCTCTCCTCGTCAAAAAAAAAAATGAACACCTTACCTCTTCATAATCCTCCAGAATTTTATTGGCATCGGATTGCTTTGTTACCTTCGCGGCTTCGATTTTCTGCATGCCACGAACATATTTGGGGAAATCACTCTTCAGAGCTGCATTCACCGGTGCATTGTCAACAGGGATTAAAGCTGACACGCGTTCGGGGGCGCGCAGTGCTACTGCCATTGCAGCTTTGGCACCCCTTGACCAATTATTAGTAGGAGAAAGTACACACGATATGGATCCATTCGCGGGTATGACTGCGCTCAGAATAGGGAAGAGTCACGTACATGGAATGCCCGATGAGAACGCATTTGTCCAATTTCTGCTGCTTGATGAATTCCTGCACATCCTCCGCCATGACACTGTAATTGTGCTCAGAAGCATGGAAAGAATGGCCATGGTTACGTAGATCCTGTTTAGATCTGTTAAGCATTCTCGAATGACGTTTTTTCCTGTGTTTATCCAAGGACAAGCGGAAACTTACCAGTGCAAAGATCTGGCATTTCAGATCCCGTGCCAAAGCCCTGAGATGTGTGTAAGGACATGTACTTAGATGGATATCTGGCCACGAAACATACTTGCCAATCGTCCTATTGTTCTGCTTTGATCCAAATAGTCCGTGTAAAATCAAGATAGGATCTCGGACAGCTTGGCCGGTTTCTGGGCCAAAGACTTGATATGCCAGCTCGGACTGCAGCATGCGGGCTGTAGAAAAGGCCCGGAGGCTGGAAGCACCACGTGTAACCGCCCGGAGAGAGAACATGTTCCGTATCTTAGGTCGCGAATGACAACCTTGGAAGTATCAAGATTCGTCAGGAACCTTGGAAATACCCGGCCCGCCAGCCGGTTGCTGATTAAGCGGGTTTGATGGCCGCGGGAGCCCTGAGCCCGGGAAACCTAGGGGCTTACCTAATGGGGCACCCGGCCCAACCGACAGCCCATTCGTGGGGGTCCCTATTATAGCCCATTTGGGGGGTTCAACTTGGATCTTATAGTCGCTATGATCGAACCCTTCTACTCATTGCATAGACTTGAAATTTATTACTATGTAAGTGTATACTCTAATTTTAATTAAAAGAAGAGTAGCCAGCCACTTATGCGGGCCTTATGATGTTCTTCGTAGGTCTTTTGAGTGGTCTTCTCAGATGTTCTTGTCAGAAATCTTCAAGATAGTTTTCTCCTTTGCCAGTCTTATAGGTAGACGTCAGAAAAATGCGGGAAAAACGTGCTTTGTGCAAGGCACTTTTCTAGGTATAACCTCTGATTGAACCAGTAGAAATCGAGAAAGATCGATATGTACTTTACCTCAAAATACAGACGTATTTTCAGTCTCTACACATAGGGGTACCACCACTTCCTAAGTAAACCTCTAAAATTTGAAACTTACCTAGCATTTTCTTTCTCGCATGTTCAGACGTGATGTATAGATTTAATAGTATCTTAGTAATATATCATCTGAAATAGTAAACTATTACCTCAAAGTAAAGGCTAAAAATGGGGTCTAGATATAGGTATGTAATTGAAAATGCACATTTCTTAGAATGCTTGTATTGTCTAGCGTTTAATGGGCCCTATTGGCCCCCATTCAAAGCCCAGTGGGCTTTCACCCTAGGCCCATACATAGCCCATCGGTGGGCCTAACGACCGGGCCCAAGACCCAGCCTATTAGTGGATTTGGGTGGGTTGGGCTTTGGGCGTTGAGGGCTTCGCCGAGGTCTACTGTAATGTACACACATATTTAGTTGGGTCCAGCGGAACATGTACATTAATAGCTTAGAATCTCCAGTACCCTGGGAAGCCGCCAACCCGCCACCAATTGAGCAGGCTTGGCAGCCCCCGGTACGGCAGGCTTTTGGGCCCATCGCGCCAACTTGTGCATGCCCATTGTGCGAGCCTTTGTAAGCAGGAGGTTTTCTCAATCTCAAAGTGATAGTTTCTTGAGCTCGATACGTGTCTATTCTAAAGCACCTACAGGAGTTGTTTCTATACTTTTAGGAAACTACATACATATTCGGAAGTTGATTCATGGCAGCTGGTTGACTTACAGGAGACTTCGCTTCTAGCAAAATTCTCGGTTGAGCCATCCATTGGAACAATTGTTTGAAGATAGGAATTAAATTATTGTAGGATAAAAGTTACGAAGAGCTTCAAGTGAATAAAGTTGTCACTCGGAATAGCTGGTATTTACCCCGACCTTTCACGGTATCCTGGTGTGTTAGGCGTAGTGGCGGGTAGGATGCCCCGGTCCGGGGGTGTACCGACTGGCGGTGAAGGCCCCGGTTAGGAAACCCGGGCCCCCAACATTGCCAGTCCTGAGGGGATCTGCGTCCGACGTCATCTCACTAAAGTTCAAAGCTTCCCCTCTAGGCTAATCTCTTGCCTCAGATAGCTTCCAATTCTCATCCATCAGACATAACAACCTCCTCATCATGGCCGATCAGCCGCACCCGTATAAGATTTCAGTTCCTGATGAGAATCTCCAAGACCTTCAGCAACGTCTGGCACTTGCCAAATTCGCTACTCAACTGGAGTCCTCCGAACAAGATCCTTGGGATTTTGGAGCTCCAGTAAAAGAAGTCCAACGACTCATAGAGTATTGGAAAAATGGCTTTGACTGGCGGAAGGCCGAAGCGAAGTTGAATGAGCTGCCCCAATATCAAATGCAGATCGAAGTAGATGGGTTTGGCAGTTTGGATATCCACTGTGAGTTTTGTGTGACACGGCTTCGAAAGTATTCGATGTTTACCGGGCTCAATATGCAGATGTCCACCAAATTAACAGCAACAAGAACGCGATTCCACTACTTTTTTGTCATGGATGTAAGTATCAATTTCTTCGTTATCTCGGTCATCATTTTTCCATCGCGGTGTAGTCACTGACCCGTATACACAGGGCCAGGAGCGTTCATCGAAGTCACCAAGCTGCTACCGATGCTGAAAGGTGGTGATGATAGTCCCGCATTCCACGTTGTGGCTCCGTCGCTGCCAAATTTCGGCTTCTCTTCGGGAGTGACTCGTCGTGGGTTCGACCTTGCGCAGTATGCCAAAGTCCTGCACACGCTTATGATCAAACTCGGTTATGATCAGTATGGTATGGCCCGAAAGAGATACCAATGTACCAGTCACATTCAGAACTAATCTGGATATACTCAAAGTGACCCAAGGCGGAGATTGGGGGTTCTGGATCACTAGAACTATTGGCCTACTATACCCCGAGCACTGCCAAGCATCTCATATTAACATGGTGTTGGCCCAGCCGCCTAAGTTCACCGATAATCCATGGGCAGCCCTGCGACACGCGTTGCTGCCGTACAATGACCGGGAAAAGACAGGCCGCGAACGCACTGAATGGTTCAAACAAGAAGGCTATGGTTACAACCAACTTCAAAGCACCAAGCCACAAACCATTGGTGCAGCACTAGGGGATAGCCCTGTTGCCTTGCTGGCCTGGATCTATGAGAAACTCCACGACTGGACAGACTCGTATCCTTGGACTGACGACGAGATCCTGACCTGGATCTCTATATACTGGTTTTCTACAGCCGGACCAGCGGCTAGTGTCCGCATATACTATGAAGCTGCACATGCCGATATGATCAAGGGCAAGTCCTACACGCAGTTGGTTGCATACATCCCGCGTGTGAAACTGGCAATTGCCCACCTCCCTCGTGAAATTACCATCATTCCTTGCTCTTGGGCTGCTGGCCTGGGTCCGGTTGTTCAACAGAACGAGCATGCCCGTGGAGGTCACTTTGCCGCCTGGGAAGTTCCTGAATATCTCGTGCAGGACTTGCGGGCAATGTTTAACAAGAATGGACCTTGCTACGGGGTTGTTTCAGGAAAAGATGGATACTGACTATGTGGTGGCTACGTACCGCCGTTTGTAGCTTTCTGAGTATCTATCTCAGTTATTCGAAGCCTGTTGGGGTGGTCACAAGAATATGGAAGATAGATAGAGAATATAATCTCTTATATTCAGTGATCTGTACATGCTGAAATAGCAATTCAAGAAAAAAAAAATAGATGTAAAAAGAGAAAGAAATGGGTTGATACTGGTGAGGACTTAGTATATTCCCTCCCAAGGTTGCTCTCACAATTGATCAAAAAATATAGGAGTATGCAGTACAACGAGATGTTTGCAATTATCAGCTGTCGAGCAGCACCGGAACCTTCTCAATTAGATATTCAACAATGGCATCGGGGCCACGCTCAACCTGCAAGCCCTCGGGAATAGCGTGAAGCTTGATATCTGGCCGAACAGAACGTGCAATCTGATGGATCTGCTGGGCCTGCTCGGTGGACCACATAGAGGCACTGAACTATTTATGACGTTAATATAGAATCCTATATAGTAATGCTTGAGAATCGAGATCGGACTTACCAGAACCTCGGGGTTGTGCTGCTTGACCTTGGCCTCGACCTCATCGATCTCTGTGCGATGTTTGTCAAACGAAATTCACTCTCGACTACTCTCAATGTACTACTCTCAGTGTGCTTACTCTCACAGTTGTCGACGTGAACGATGGTGTACCGGTCGCTCAGAGCCTCTGCGACACGGCCGATGAGGCGCTTAGCGCGCTCGGGCGCGGTGTTGACAGTAACCAGGTGGAAGGGACCTTTAGGAGTAGACATGACAGCAAGATAGGAATGATAACTCACAAAACGAGTACATCGCTGGGGTTTTATTTTGCAAGGTGAAAACGGCTGCGCTCCCACTTCCCCACAATGTGGGAGACTGCCCCTCTGGCTTATACAGCGCCGGGGTAGACTTACTCCGTTATCGGTCTTGATAGCTCTTGATTATATATGGGGTTTCTGCCTCACCATATTTGTTTCCTTTTTTTCACTCCCAATTAATATAATCATGTCTAAAATCGCCTCCACGTTCTCGCGTAAGAATTCTCAGATTGTTTCCGAATCCCAGACTAACAGAAAATAGGCCTGGTGCGCTTTGTGCCCAAGTCGAACCCCGCCAAGGTTCTAATTGGTGAGCCCGTCGATCCCAAGTTGGATGTCGGATTGGCCCTCTACCAGGGCAAGGAGGTTGCGGTGCACCCGTTCTCTGGCACCTCAGTCCTGAGCCCTGGCAAAGTGACCGATACGACGGAGACCATCGCGCGTATTTTATCGCCTCTAGCGCAAAACGAGGTTGGAACTATTCGCTGTATTGGCTTGAATGTGAGATTCAAATGAGAACACAAATATTAAAGGAGACAAAAGTGACTAATCCGCGCTATAGTATGCCTCCCACGCTAAGGAGATGGCTCTCCCAATCCCAGAGGTCCCAACGTTGTTCATGAAGCCAGCCAGCTCTCTGGCGGATCCTTGGCCTGCACCAACAGTTCTGCCTAAAATTACGCAGCAGGATAACACTGGCGACTATGAGTCTGAGATGGTAATTGTCATTGGACGTGATGCCAAGGATGTGTCCGAGTCCGAGGCCCTCGAATATGTCCTCGGCTACACAGCTGCCAACGATGTTTCTAGCCGTACTTCCCAGATGAACCAGAGCCAGTGGTCTTTTTCTAAGGGCTTTGATGGCGCATGCCCGATTGGTATGTCTATTGAGAACTGTGTACCATTCAGATAATTTTGCGCTGACTCAATCTCATAGGTCCCGTGCTTGTTTCCGCTACCCTTATCCCCGATGCCAACAAGCTCCAGATTCGTGGTCTTAAGAACGGCAGTGTAATGCAGGACTGCCCCTTGACGTATGTTGAATTTGCTTCGCATGACTTACGGTATACAGGATAACACGAGCTAACATTCGATTTTCCCGCAGTGACCTGATCTTCAGTGTCCCCCAGTTGATCAGCTTCCTCTCCCAAGGCACCACACTTCCTGCCGGTACAATCATCTTGACCGGCACCCCGCCCGGTGTAGGCGCAGCAAAGAACCCCAAGGAGTTCATCAAGGCTGGCGACGAGTTCGCCGTTGAGCTGCTGCCACACGTTGGAACACTTATCAACAAAATCGAGCACCAGTAACGGAATTCAGTATATAAAATGATAGATTCGACTTCTTGAGGGACTAGCTCTTTATTTATATATGTTCATAAAGACTTGCAGTTCCTCTGGCAACTGTTAAATACTAGTTATGCATATTTCATGCCCATCCATACATATACGCCCCTGAATATCTCTATATACACTGCACAACTAAGATACCTACCAATGATTAACATATGCATCAAGCTAGATAGATCCAAATTCTTGCCCTAAGCTACAAGGGATTTTTCGGATCAACTGTTCTAAGAAGCTTTGTCCAATCACAGAGCTCAATCGGATATAGAATCTTCCCTGCGCGGAGTAAATGTCATCCGCCACATCGCCCTGTAGCACTCAGCTGGGAACATTTTCTAGCTAGAGCGCAAGCCGAGCTTCTCACCCGGCAGTGGCATGATAGGGCCTGTGGCCCTCGTTGACCCGCGATGGCTCAGTTTCAGCGCTATGGGCTTATATCGGGCTGGTGTCCCGAGCTGTCCCCGTTCGAAGTGGTTTGCTGAAAAGACAGTGTGTGGCCTTTGTTTTGGAGATATCTTTTGCTGGAATTTTTATTCAAATCTCTTCAGTCACTTTTCCTTTTTTTTATCTTGTTTGAATGGATGTTGTCATTCCTCACGCCAGCAAAATTGATGCCTGGTCGGTACTAATCACACACAATTTCTCTCTTCGATTGTCAAATTACGTCGAAGAACCATGCAATTCAAGGGGTCAAACTATATACAGTCTGGAAGCACCATGCCGTGTTCGATGCCGATACCGATGCTGAGTCTAATTTAACCGACGCCAATCCGAACCGGATCACTCTATCAGGCCCGATGCTCTAAAAACCAACCCCCAAAAATCATCACACAAACCCAAGTCGATCTCCATACTAGTGCATTTACTCTTCGCTACGCCAAATCTTACCTCGCCAGTGCAAGAAGATAGTTGGGATCACACTGACGAGCACAATCAACGCCGACACAATGCCCGCGCTGGGTGCAATGCCCGCATTCTCAAACATTGGAGTAAACCTGGGCGGAGGTTAGCAACGACCCTGCGAAAAGAATTGGAGGGGAAAAATAACACATACCAGAATGGACCAATGAAACCCCAGATCTGTCGGACAAAGGTGACAAAAACACCGATATTACCAGCTTCTTGTGGGAAGCAATCAACAGCATATGTGACCATCACCGTGGTCACAAGCTGGTTCCCGACAGCAGCAATAGCAGTGCCGACAATGGGCGAGACGCTCCAGTGTCCGCTGGGTGATTCCTGCGTGCAGACTAGGAAGATAATCACGCCGATGATGGTGAGCGCAAAACCAAAGTAGCTGAGCCACAGGCGAAATTCTGGCTCGGCCTTGCGGTTGATGCGTTGGCTGCGCCGGCTCATCCAGAAGTCTGACAGCACGCCGCCCATTTGCTCGCCGATTACGGAGCCTATGATCACGCCTAGGAACTGCATACCTAACTGTTCAGAGTTGAGTTCAAACTTCTCTTGCAATAATTGGGGCACCTCAACAGTGGTGAGGACACTGGCGAATAGGAAGATCATTGCGTATGCACATGCCGGGATAAGGATTGATGGGTGTCGAGCCATTGTCAGCGGGCGGACAAATTCGAACCATGAAAATGGTGCTGGATCAATCCGTCGCAGCGACATGTACTCAATCTTTCTTGTCGACTCCTTGCTGTCAATGCCGCTGTCCAGATAACGAGTTTCAGGACCGAAGAACAGATACAAGATGAATTGGCCGCCATTGATCTTTGGACTTGTCAGCTTATGACAAGTTGACTGACTACTATGGGCGTGGGAGCTTACCATTGCGAGGATCCAGAAGATCCACTGATAACCAGCGCGGTAGGCGACGAAGCCGAAGATGAAAGGCCCAATCGGGACGCCCAGGGTGACCATTAATGTCCAAACGCCCATGTAACGACCGCGATCCTTTTTAAAGGTCGTCTCCATCACAACTGCACTGCCAATGGCGGAGGCAGGTGAGATAAAAAAAAGCCACGAGGGCCCGACAAGCAGCCATAGAAGCATATGTGGTGCTCTTAGCACAGCCAATATTACACACGAGACTGCAGACGAGAGAGACAAGAAAGATAGGTCGGCGCCCGTACCGGTTGGAAAGTGGTTTCCAAAACAGAGGCGCACCTCCAAGGATGGCGATTTGCAAAGAGGTCAAGTAAGCAACATCTTGCATTCCGACGCCAAGTGCTTTGGATAAGTCTAAAAAGGCAGGGATAATGGCGGCGGCGGTGAATGTGCCCATACAAGCGTGAAACGCCACAAGTACAAGGTTTATCATTTTCTGCGTGTTGCTGCATCAGTCTTTTGTCGGACGGAATCTTTTACTTTTGCCTTGTTTCAAGATCATTTGCGACGATGTCATCTTGTAGCAAGGAGAATATTGACTTACCTTCCGCTCAGACCAGTTGTAAGGGTCAGCTGGACTCATTCCGGGAATAGGGTCGAGTTCCAAAGTCCCGTGTCGCTCCATCAGATAGTCTCGGTGGGCTTTTGGTAGACGGGCAGTCATTGACTCGGCGTGTGTGGGTTCTCCTCCATATCCTGCGCTTTCAATGAGGTCGATGTCGGCTTTGGTACCTGGAACCTCCTCGAGCTCGTCTCGACGAGATGTGTTCGGCTGCAATTCAAAGGACGCCATATTGTTTGCCTCCGATGAGAAATCTGGAGACAAGTACTCAAAAGGCTCCAGTCACCCTCTTTCTATGGTCCAAGATGGTGTGTTGATAGTGAGAATAGTCGGAAGAAGATGGGGGAGGGGGAGATTGAACACTGATTCCAGATCTGGGGGTTTCTCTATAGTACTTCTGCTGGGCACGCGAAGCCAGCGAGGTACTGGCAAGAAATGGTAGGGCAAGTGGGCACGACCAAGACACCAATCCCACGGCGTTTGCCCAGTCGGAGCTTCCCCTGGGGTAGGTGCATATATTCTCCGGAGTTTTCGGCTCCGTTGCGGGTCCCTCGAGGAGGAAATGGAGAGAAAATGGAGAAAAATGCGGAGGAACTCCATGGTCCTTGATTGGAACGCGTCAGAACTGGCGAGTCAGGATCCTGCTTAGCAAAATCTTGTCATGGGGTCGTGCAGAAAGCATCGCCATGGCACTTGAACACGGCTAACCGACGAAGCTTGTTAGTATGCAGCACCACGTCTATCCCGAGCCAAGTGCCGAGATGATTTTGACATCTTGGCGTTGCCTGTATGTATTTCGCTTGACCCTTCAGCTAGGGAAATCCCGAGTAAGACATTCCAACCCAAGCCGCACAACCCTAATATGCATGTGATAATATTTAATGTGAGCATTGGAAGTCTGATGAAAAATCGAGGATAACGCAGCAGCCACACATCCTTGGCTGTATTGCCACGACGCTTATTTCGGGTTGAATGCCTAAATGCTTGAACGCTTGATCACGTCCTTTGGACAGTTTGAATTCGAAGACTCTTTATTGATTGAATTTTATTGAGGCCTAAGTTTACTCCTTACGTATGTTCAACTGATCTGTAATCTTTGATTTTTGGCCCTATGGAGTACAGAGTAGTAAAGTATTGGATGTATAGCCAATGTCGGTGATCGCATAAGCAGTCCCACACCCCACAATTGCCTCTCCACAATCTGATCTGTTTGTTCCTTCTTCTCATTAAACATGTCGTCAATGGAGATAATGACAGCACCATCGCCCCTAGGAGACAGGAGACTGGTTTGTCGAGTGTGTCAAAAAACATTTTCTAAGGCCGAACACTTGAGGGTGAGTAGGCTTGGCTTCAGATTCAATTTCTCTACGAAAGAGGGACCGCCAAGTGATATGAGATACTAATGGATCTTTATAGAGACACGAGCGCTGCCGTATGTACTGATTAAATTCAATCCTTATACAAAGGGCAAGAAGAAATTCGCACCCAGCTGACCGAAAGATTTAGATACGGGGTCTAAACCATATATCTGTAAACAGTGTCGACGCCCCTTCGCCAGACAAGATGCTCTTACTCGCCATGAAAAACTACACGGTCGTGCTACGAATGCAAAGAATGACTTCTCTCAGGCCCACTTGTCGTCACAGCCTACCTCATTAGATTCTCTCGCTTCTTGGGATACGAGTAGTGCTTCCACTGCTGATCCGACGTCAACTTCAGCAACGAGTCACTCCTGGGATGAATCTCATCCTGAGAATCATGCGAGTACCCATAATGCCTCATCGGAGTTGGACTTTGCATTGGTCTGGCCTGATTCGGAAAATTTGTTTCAGAGCTTGATGTCCTCGGATACAGCAGATCAATGGCAGATGCCGCTTGGTACTTTGCCTTTTCCGCCTGCTGCGCAGGATATCAATGGCATGAGCTTTGGGTCTCCGAACGCATTCGATGAACGTAGGTGCTCTGTCGGCGCAATACCGTCCGGCGGAGGACATCAGGCAGTGCGAGATGTCACAGAAATGATAACGAGCTCGGTGAGTTGAGCGTTTCATCCACCAGAGAAGGACAAGCTGGTTAGGATCTCGAGCAAGAAACAGACCCAATTACCATGCGATCGAAATTGACATTTATTCTCCTTAGTCATCCAGTGTTACTGCCGCCGCCAAAGCCACGTCCATAACCTCAGTATTCCTTGACGAATGTCTCCATATGTTCTTCGTCCGCTTCATCCCCACATTTCCAATATTGCATCGTGCAACTTTCGTTTTCCGTGATTGCACACATGCTCTCCTCCTTAATGCCATCGCCATAGGCTCTTTGTACCTAGGCCCCAAGGACTCGCTGGCAAAAGGCGAAGCCCTATGGCGACTAGCACATACCGCACTTTCAACTTCATGGCAGTCTTTGATCACACATATCGGTCCCTATGATGCCTGCAAAGGCGTGCAGTTGATGATCACAGCCTTACTGGGTCAGATCTATGGGGCGCTATCCAAGAACCGGGCAATTCGAACCACGAGCCAGGTCTTCCATCCGCTGGGCTTCTTATGGGCCAGACACTGCGGCATGTATGAAAGCGAGCCATACTCAATAGACAATCTCCCTTCGATTGATGCCACTGCCGCAGAAAAGGAAGACCAATGGCGGATCTGGGCTGCACGAGAGATCCAGCAACGCGTTCTGTTAGCCTACTACGTACTGGACGGACTTGTGGCGCAAGCGGCAAGCGACGGTGCCTCTTCTCGCCATGTTGCAAACCCGCTCAGCCTCCCTAGCTGCGAGGAAGCCTTCGATTCCAGCACTGCCGATGGATGGCTAACTCACATGCACGCCCAAAAGCCGGATCCGTCCTCATTTAGAGCGATTTTCCGTTCCCTCTTCCCGCCTGTTGGTAGCTTCCGCCCCCCTAGAGCACCATTTCTCTGCCTTTGCACTGCGTGTGGTGCTAGAAGGTCTCCAATCTCTTATCTCCGACTCTGATGACGATGAATTAGCAGTGGGAGCCCCAAGCCCATCAGACGTCCGGCGAGCTTTAGCCCAAGTTCACGAGACAATATCTATGAGCATCCATTTTTCCGCGGCAGAGAGACTTGAAATACTCTTGCGCTGGCACACAGTCTGCCTAGATACGATGATCAACTCCACCGTCCTCTCCCGCCACGTCTGCTCACGCTACAATATTTGCCAATACGTCTCCAGTGGATGCGGAACTATCCGCCCGGGCTTTGATCTAGTGAAATGGGCTGATTCATCAGACGCGCGGCGGGCCGTCCTCCACGCAGTCGCCATCCAGGACATAGTAGAGCAATTACCACGTGGACGCGCGCACGTTGTCCATATGCCTAGCTCACTATTCGCAGCTGCGACAATATACGTTGTCTTTTCACTTGCCGGGGTCGCCACAGTGAATTTGCCCCGCAACATCGTCTGGCAGGACGCTTTGCTATCCTATTCGGATCTCAACCTAGGCCACGAGGATATTCAGCCCCTGTCTGGCTCAGAGACAAAGCGATTTGTGGAGAATGGAAATGGGACTTCCTCGGTCCCGCTTTCCATCGGGGGTGCTGTCAGGAATTTGCTTTATGAACTCAACTCTATGCAAAAGCTTTTCCGGTGCTTATCTTCGCAGTGGGGTATTGCGCATGACATGGAGGATATTATTTCTCAATGGATTCAGCTTTGTCATTAAGTGATCCAGCTGGACTGGTTTTTTGAGTTGATAAATGTTGATCGCATGGAATTTTATGCATTTTTGGTGTTATTGGAGATGCTCCAGAGAGTATTTATTGGGTGGCAGATTGTTGGATCATCAGTATCCATAAATGTAGTATATACCTGAAACTGACAAGTACCAAGTCCGTTTCCATATTTTCTAGCTAGTCAAGGACAACGTTCACATTCTTTCAGAAGTGTTAGAGTTCTCCACTCACTCCACAGCATCTTGTATCGAATTGTGACGTACTCTATACCAATGTCATTGGGTTATTCTCTAGGCTAGGTCCAAAGTCAGTCACCTTGCTACTTGCAAAACGTCATTTTGAGATGGAAGAGTACCTCAGATGCCTAAGATTGAATTCTTAATCGTTGAAAAAGGAAATTTATGGGAGAGAATGGCCCTATTGTGGTTGATTTAGGGTTTGTGACCATGCGGTTCACGTGCGCTTTCTTTGATGCACGACTGCCCTGGTGCAGCTGCTCTGCCCTGTTTTCTTGCTCTATAGTGTATATTCTGTTAGACCAAGTGTGCATGATCTTTCAAAGCTCCATCTAGGAATATGCAAACTCTTGTAAGTAGGCAGATGTAATCTTTACATTGATTATCACTAGCAATGTGAATGGATTACATATTGTGCCAAAATTCTAGGATGGCTCTTTAGACTTAGGACCTCTGATGCTATGTGTGTAAGCGCAATCAAAACATCTCAATACTCGAAGCAATATAAAGAGGAAACCGAACTGTAGATATAGATTATTCAAAGTGTTAAAATCACGTGCCTCGTGGTGAAATGCGGGATAGACGCGACGCGACGCAACTCCGACTTTTCCGACCCACTTCCAGTGTGTTTCATGCTGCTTTCGGCTAGAATTTATCCACTAACATTCTTAATCTTCTTGATCTGTGGGTCCAACTGTGAACGATCCATTCATATTCAAGCCAGGTGATCTACAGTAACCCAGTGCCAGCGTGGCGTCCCCATGCCAAACAAGGCCAGATGATCGCCAATAAAACTTGAAAGACCCCACAACCTGGCATCAGCTCCAACGAGTTTCCCGATGGATCTTACATCAGCCCGTGGAACAAAGCTCAACGATATCGTAATCGGTCACCGCCCTAGCACAGGCCGCGGAAAGAAACTTACCCTTGCGCAAGAGGGCGTTCTGAGGAGACTCTATGAACAAGAATTGCCCTCCGTATCCAATGATGAGGTACCAGTGAAAGCGTTCTGGCTGAATCTCGCGTCGCGGTTTCATGATCAGACCGGTCGCGAGTATTCATGGTTGTCTGTGAAGCGGCGGGCTGCGGGTTGGGGCCACAAGTCTCCAGAAGTTGACCACCGACTGGATATCTCCCGTGATAGCGAGCTCGTGGTCGAGAATTCCGTAGCTGAGCCTAGTCATGAAGATGTCGCTCATGAATCCCCACGAAAGAAGGGTTCATGTGACAGCGAACAACCAGCGCTACCGCAACAAAAGCCTTCCCTGCACTCGCAAGATTCGAACATCCCGAAGTCGTCTCAACTTGAAAGGAATCCTGACTCCGGCGACTGGCTGCAGCGCAGTTCGTTACCAGGCACCGAAGACCCAATTCAAGACAAGAATAGCAATGTCAAATGCCCTCGTGTGGCTCAGCGTCGTCCCCGGTCAATATCACCCCACCGTGGATTGCAGCCTAGATATCGTTATCGATCTCCTTCAACAACGAGACGCACCAAAATTGTCTCCAGACGACTGCATCACCATCTGGGCTCTTCATCCGATGGGATGGTCATGCCTGCCCCCTACCCTTTGTCCGGCTCCTCCCCAGCCCATGAAGATATACCGCTCGGCCATCTAAGTACACAAGCCCCTCCTGAGTTCAGCCGCCTCCGCAAGTCCGTGGAAAAGAGTGAGCCTCAGAAAAGTCCTCGTGATGGAGCAAGGTCTAAGCGAGGAGAGAGTAAAGTAAGCGACGGTGTTCTTGGATCGGCGCACTTATTCGAGCAAGATGGCTTACCACCAACCCCAACTCGAATTATGAGAAGACGTGTTGCAAAATGAACGGACCGAAAGCTCTTCGGTGGAATGACTGCAATATGACAAATCGCATATACATCCCGAGGTCGCTTGGAGAGATCAGAGCGGTGTGGGGGACCAAATGAGAATATGAGGGATGAAATCGCCCCATCCTGTCATGATACCTGACTGCATATCCGTTCCTTCCCGTGCCTTGAGGAGGAGGAGAAGAAGAAGAAGAAGAAGAAGAAGAAGAAGAAGAAGAAGAAGAAGAAGAAGAAGAAGAAGAAGAAGAACACGTTTCATGTGGAGAAAACGAATCACTATAGTGCAACAATGACACTAATGGGGCTCACTTTCTAAATCATAGACCATGCCACTGCCTAGCCCCGCAAATCTATCCTATGTGCGCGATCAGACGCTACGCATATAGATAAATACCTGTCATAGTCTTGCATGTATTATAGCCGTTGTGGAGGTTGCCCTCCCTGTTGGTACTTACTACCATATTGAGTCTAGCATGAGGACTTCCTCATTCTAATCTATTTACCTTCCAATATCTGTGTGTATCTCTAGACCTCATACTGAGGAAAACTCTTGTCAAACAGGACACCTAGAATTGACTGACATGGACTCAAAGAGCTGTAGGAGCCACATGATGGAGTTACAGGTGTTCATGCACATCGAGGTCATAAGCCCTGAGCTAATAGGAACGAAGCTGAATTCACATATAAATCCCTGATCTATATATGGAGTTACATATTCCACGTACGACTAAGCGTAGGCCAATGTGCCTTGGAATCGCCTTCTCATTAATTGTGCAGAATCGTTTGCCGCGTTTTTATGAACGACTAAGCGCCGCGATGTTGACGACTCATCGCATTGATCTGAGCTCTTTAAATAGTTCGTTTGAGTCTCCTCCTTTCTCTTTTTTCCTCTTTCTTTATTCTCCTCCGCGTTTGCTTTTCAGTGTATCCAAGTTTACCCGAGTGAAACTCGAATCTCCAAGTACATCATCTTATCATCCTATCATCCACTGCATACCTCTCACATCCAGTCAAGATGGGGAAAGTCAAGTGGGACGCCATCGCTGACCAGACTGTGAGTTCACTTTTCATTTTGCTATCATTTCGTTACGATTACGTTCTCCGGGCTCAAGTGATCGGTCTAGGCTGATCGTCTTGGTCTTGACTCTTGTACTCTACCTGGATAAGTCTGATGTTCCTACCTTCCTTGCAAGACATACAAGATGTCTTTCAGATTTTGTTTTGATTTGATCATTTATAACTTTCTTTTTTCTTCACATTTTGTTTACTATTCTGACTCTGCTTGAGCCTCCTCTACTCTGTCTATTTTCATGGACTGCACACAAATCTGATAGTGACAACCGTGACTGACAACCTCGTTTGACACAGCTCCTCGCCACTATCGTCGAGACTCATCACTTGAGTGTCGATGCTGCCAAGGTCGCCGAAGCCTGGCGTAAGTTCTCAGTTCCGCCGCAATTATTCTCTATATCATCAAAAGAATCAATCTAATATACCCCCAGCCACCCAAGACGAAGACCACCGGCCAACACCTCGTGCTATCAAGGAAAGATTACACAAAATTCGTGAACTTAACCGCGCTCGGAACCCTGATGCCGCCATCTCTGGACCCTCTAGCCCAGCAACTCCCAAGAAACGCACTCCACGAAAGAAGAGTGATGAAACTTCCACTACTGCTGGCCCTTCCCGCAAGCGTAAGCGGACGGACGACGCTGCCGACGAAGAAAAAGCGTCCGATACCAAGGAAGAGGGTGATGTGACCGCAGAACACGGCGAGCCTTTTGTTGAGTCCCCCGCCATGGAAGAAACGGCCCTGGAGCATATCGATTCCGGCCTTCACCCAAAGATCAAGCAAGAATCGCCCGATTTCGACAATGAAGAGGGTGATGCTGATTGGACTGCCGAAAACGAGAACTCCGACACTGATTCTGACCAGCTACTCAAGTAGCTCAATGGTCATCCACCCAGGGGATCCATGTCAGTCGCCTGAACCTTCGGCACCCTGGATCCATTTGATCGGCCTTCAGAATCTTGCGGTGCCTTTTGTTTTTGCGTTCTGTCGTATCTTGTTGTTGGGTGGTTTGTTCTTCCATGGCAACCTGTGTGATACGACCATCCACAGAAAATAAAGAACAAAACCCTCCAAAAAAAGATAGTGCTCAGCTCTGAGTTGCACCAAAATTCATAGGTGAATTGACTGATGCTCTTGCCGTCCTCCTTTTCTCTATTATTGCCGTATGAAGATGAAAATAGGTCAGTGGGATCAGTGACTGCCTTGTATTTCGAGAAAAGAGAGTCGACTAGCTAAGCTCATTTCCAATGGCTGTAAATCCATCTGATCATAACCCTTCGTAAATTGTTTCATTGCATATCCCTAGTATTCCTCCTATTTCTGCGATTCCGAAAGCATCCCCAGATAAATCTCGGATACCATAAGCATGCTGACACCTTCACCATGTCGACGCGGTATGGCTCCCTCCTTGAAAAAGCGAAAAAGGTAAACGCGAAGCTTTGTGATCGCATTTAGAGGGCAGAGGGGGCTTCCTCTTCCTCGGCGAAGAAGACACTGAGTGAGGTGATATTAGCCCTCTGACGTTCAATTTGTATCCTCGCAACTAGTAGAACTCACTCCTCGGTCATCTCGCGCTTGATCTTTGGCTTCTTGCCCTTACCCTCACCAGCATTGAGCTCCTCGTCCATGGGGATCGAGCCTTCCTTGGCAGACTGAGTATCGACTTCCTCGGACTGAGCGGCAGCGGGCTTTGCAGACTTCTTTGGGGTACTGCGCTGACGCTTCTTGATCACTGGCGAAGCAGGGCCAGCAGTTCCATTGTCATCGTTCAACCCCGCAGCCTTAGCGCGAAGGCGAGTGATGCGGTGGCGGACGGCACAGGCAGTGGCTCCTGTGGAACTGCATTAGCATAGTGCATGTCTCAGCCTGGAAAAGAAGTAAAGAAGATTCAAAGGGATGGAAGCCAAAAAATTCCGGTTAAATCTTGCACGGCAGATAAGAAAATGGGCGAGAACCGGGGGGGAGTGAACAATAAAAGAAAGGCTAATCAGGCGCAGAGCCCAGACAAGAAGCTTAATGCAAGATGTATGGATGCAGAGAATGTGTAGATGGGTTGTGGTCACAAATAAAGTGCACAGAATACAGTATATGCGCCAAATTCTGGGGCCCAGGGGTAAAGAACAGTGTGAATATTGAGGATTCTGCACGTAGTACTCACCATCTCCCATGTACTCTGCAAGAGCATTGAAATCGATCGAAGTGGAAGTGATTGCCAGTATGCCAACGAGCAGCTAAAGAGAATGGTGGTTAATTCTTGAAACAAAAAGAGGATAGGTAGTTAATGCAACTCTCGGGAACAAAGGACACTTCAAAGGATGTAGGGGCTATAATATGGCGATGAGGTTCAGCCAAATCACCGTCCGGATCCGACTGCTCACTGTCCGGACCTGGCTCGTCTGCGTCTGGACCTGGCTCATTTGCGTCCGGACCTGGCTCATCGTCGTCCGGTTCAGAGTCATCTCTGTATGTCAGACTCATGGCACTCGACGTCTGATTCAAGGTCCTCGACGTCCGAGTCAAGGTGATTGACGTCTGATTCAAGGTCCTCGACGTCCAAGTCAAGGTGATTGACGTCCAGGTCAAGGTGATTGACGACCAGTCACCAGGGCTATCATAGAAGGGGAACATTCGAATGGTGTATTGATGAACTGAGAGAAACAATCGGCAGGGCTGGAGCTTACCTTGGCATCGGCTTTATCGTTCCAGGTGATCGGCATTGCTGCTTTAGGCGTCAAACGAGCTGGCGTCAAACGATATTAGTATGTCTATTGTGAACGAAACTGATGAAGAGACTGTGAACAAATATTGGATCTCACGGAGGCTTCCATTATCTGATAACGCTAGAGTAAATTAGAAATGAACGTACCTTTCGTAAGAATATGTGCGAGTTGAAGCGAGATAGAGATGAGATGGGTGCACAATGTCGATGTGACGGACGAAGAGAAGAGATGAGATGGGTGCAGTGTCGATGCGACGGACGAAGAGAAGTGAAAAGAGAGATTCAAAAGATTGCTCGGACGAGCTCTGAACTTTTAACCGTCACCTTAAGGTACACAAGCGAGTAGACATTCTCTCTTATCACTTCTTTATCCCGTCATTACGAGTGGTGGAAATACAAGAAGTGGAACAGTAGATATCCCCCCAAAGCCTTGACTACATTGCCTAATCACACGGCTTGATTACACAGCCTGAATAAATAAGTCCTAAGTACAGTAAGAACAGTAAGGACAGTAAGGACAGAATAGACATGAGCAGCATAGACCGCACGAGCTGATGAACAGCATAAACAGTGTGAGTAGTATAGATAGGAGACAGAAAAGAAAATCAACAAGAACGCTATCGGGTAGGTCTAAGTGCTTACAATAGAAAATGAAAGAACATGAGAGGTTGCAATTGAGTGCGAGAGTCCATATATTGTTTGGCCGTGAAAACTCGCACGAAATTGTAACCCTCTCCTACAAGCGTAGGGCAAAATGTAGGATTATGTCCAGTCTAACAGATTGCAAAGGCAGTTCAGAGGTGTGGTCCTGAGTCACGTCAACTAAATAAGTATACAAATAAGACAAGAAGGGATATTGATGTTAATGTTGATGATGCAGCCCGTCTCGAATTGATGAGCAGACTCAGTCCTTTCACGCTCAGATTGCGTCTGCGTCCTGCCAAACACCGTCTCGATCTGTCCACCCCTCGTCGCTGTCTTGCTTCAATACATATGCAAGCTGACAACAACTCTTCAATGGAGGAGATCTAAATGTTGCTTGGAAATCAATGTGCATGAAAGGTCTGCTTTCTTTGAAATCAAGATTATGTAGACAGCAGGGTACCCGAAAGACCTGGACTCAAAGCCAAACGATATCTTCCCTCCCGATGCCGCCGGAACCGCCCCATAGAGGTCAGGAACAAAGACAATATTTCCCAACCAACGCCTGGTCCAAGAAATTAGAGTCCTTGGAGTTTGCGTTTCTTAGTGGGATTTCCGCTGGATTTATCGCCATCTCCGTCCCCATCCTGACTTTCAACGACAGAGTTCTTCTTCAACTTTGGGACGGAGACGTTCTTGCGCTTGATTGGAATTTTGGTAGCCTTACGGCCACGACCGATGGGCTTGTCTGCCTTGTCATTGGTGCCAGGTTGCGCAGATGCTGCCCCTAGGCGGGCCTTGATGGTGTAGACGTGGTTCTTCACACCTGCAGTACTGTCACCTACAACATGTTAGACAAGTTCGTGTGATTAGTCACATGTAGGGTCTTTAGAAAGATCTCATAGGGAAGAACGCATGATATATGGAAGGGGCAGGTTTGGCATATAGTCCTCAAGTACCCACCCTGTCCCATCGCTTTAGCAATGGCGGCAAAATCCAGTGGAGAATGGACAGCCAGGATGGCTACCAGCAACTACCAACCATTAGCCATTGATATCGATACTTTCTCAGGCCATCAACAGGGGAGCCAGCTAAGGTCTGAACAACCCAGGAACTAGCACCCCGTGTGCTGCTGCTGATATGCCCATAGCTGAGCGTACTTACCTGCTTGTCTCTCTCGTGATCCCAAGAATGAGCCATTGTGATAAAGAAACGCTTGTGGGTTGAGGACGGATGTCTGGGAGACTTCGTGGATAATGATTATGTTAGAGAAGGAAAAGAACAGTGGAAGAAATGAAGAGAAATTTGAAAGTCACCTTCTCCCTTGTTGTTTGTGTAATTTTCTCCACGTGAGGACAGTCGACAGGAATATGAAATGAAACTTTTGGCTTAACACTCATCTTGTTGACATTCTGTCTTGATAGGCAGTAAATAGATACGACGCTCTAGTTTTGTGTGCGTCGCTTTAATTCTAGAGTCAGAAACCTATCAAGTCCCTAAACACCGATTGTGTGCTACTCGGAACGCTCATTCGGGCACAGGGATTTGTGATAGTTGGACCAAATGTTGTTTGGCATAAAACTCGATTCAACAAAACGAAAGATCAACCCGGGAATCTATACTAAATCGGAAGCAGTGCAGGAAGATGAACATGTTCATTGAAACCACTCAAAAAAAGATCAGATCGTGTGCTCCCGTTGACCGTAGCGATGGAAAATCAACATATCGATGCCCATCATTGGCCAGCAGACGGGGGTGTCGACGTCCACGGCCCACTGACAAATTGTGATTCCGAACCTCTTCCTGCCTTCCCCTGTGAATGTTCGAGATTCTCTGGATGATGACTCGGCTGGTCGTAAGGAACTTGGTGAACATGTGTTGTTTCAGGAAAACCGGCCGGTCCACTGCCAGAACCAGATTGAAGCCCCGAAAAGTGTTGATTGTCACCGACTTGCGTCAGGGGGTTATGATATTTCGGATAGCTTTGGGGAATATCGGCTTGGTGTGATCCTGGCTGTGTTCGTATCATGTGCTGCTGTTGGTATTGACTCTGTACATGTTGAAGCGGTGAGAATCCCTGCAATGCAGGATCCGTGTGGGAATGTTGCGAATGGGAACGTGGGTCCGGTTGGCGTTGCCCGAATCTACCTTGGTCAAGCATAGAGTGTGGCGAATGATTGGGGAAGCTATCCACGGAGTTTTGGTACAGTTGCCCTTCCCGGGCAGAAGAAGCATTCGAGACGCGGCGAGCGGACTCTCCCGAAGACTGTTCCGTGTGCTCTGTGTGCTGGACGGATGAGTAGGACCCAAAAAAGGGCTTATGCAGGGTCGAGTTCTCACTAGGGGCGTTCAGATGGCCTTGCTGTGATTCGAATTGCCAGTGTGGCTGGGAAATAGAAGCTCCACGCATGGAATTTGCCATTTGCCCCTGTGGATTGTTGGTCATTGTCCAGGAGGGTGGTGACTGTTGGTTATGCAGTCCAGCAGGATTTGCAGAAAATCCTTGGAAGGATTGTGCATGTTGCGTCGTTGTATAACCGCCTGGGTGTCCCTGATATGTACCTGGATTATTACCCCACGTAGAAGCGGGTATACTTTGGCCTATGTGGTGTGGACCCGTGATTTGATACCCTTGATGTGTCTGGCTCCCATAAAACGCCGGCTGGACACCATTAATTTGTCCAACAGGGCCCCGTTGCAACGGATTCTAGGGAGAAATAAGCACCACAGTCATTCAATATATGCGAGACTCGAAGATTTGAACATACCAGGCCATATCCGGCTGCGTTTGCAGCGAGCTGCTGCTCATATCCGCCGGGTAAATGCTGACCCGTTTGATTCGAATACCAACCCGGTACCCCGGAAGACCCATAAATTGGATTGTTTGACTGCCCATAAATCTGGGGGTCAAGGGAGTTCTATCCCACCATCAGTGCCTTTCTTGCAATGCTTACGCAGACATAATGAGCGCGATTCCCTACGGAAATTCTCGCACTGTCCGCCACGGAGTACGTTCCGCCGGTCATTGTGTCCACGGACTCCATCTGTCGAGTGTTGCTGTTTGTCGGATGCGATGTTGGCTCCTGCGATGGACCTGCCCCGGGCGTCGGTGTTGTTGACGGGGTCAAGACGATCGGTTCGGTAGGAATCTCCCATTGCGACTTCCCGGTCGTCCGCTGTACGTAATACCATTTCCGTCGGACACCTTCCCATTGGGGGAGCCTACCAGATATTAGTATTAGAATACAGCAGATGGTTTCTTTGATTTTCGGGTGTTGACTTACCAGCCTTCTGGGAGTTGAGGTGGTGGGGAGGACGGGCCTGCGGTATCCGCAGGGGCCTCGGGCGCCATCTCAGACCTAGCAGGATCCAGCCGATGTTAGGATAACGAAAATAAAACTAGACATCCAAATTTCGGCTATCACTGATAAAATTCAAATATACACAGAAGAAAGGTGTGGGATAAACAGAAGTGAGGTGCAATGAGACTCGCAGATAAGACAATCTTGTGGGGCTTGGCCGTTGATCGCAGTGCACAGACCGAGTAAACACCGGCACTGGTACACGTTGTATGCACTTAAGGGACATATCAAGCAATGAAATCATGGAGTCATGGAATACGCTGCGCCATATTCTCATTCTCATAAATCACTGAATATTATTGTAGTAAGGTATCAAATAGTGGCTCGTGTTTATCCCCTTCCCAAATGAATAGCGACCCCCAACGCCAGATGCTAGAAACATAAAGCATATCGGCATAAGAAAGAAAACATATTCGTCTAGGCGCATGTAAGAACCATGAAGGATGAAATAGTTACAAATACAAGAATGCACTTCTGTTGGGACTTCGCCGTAGACCATTACCCCGAACGTCCCAGGGACTAAAGGTCACCATCATTGCCATCCCAGTCCTCGTCCCCGCTGAGTTCATCGTCAAGAAAGTCATTCTCGTTGAACTGTAACTCGGTCGGTCGCTGGTTGTCGATCCGAATGTTTACAATATCGCACATCCCCTGTATCTTTCCGGCTCTAGGCTGCGGAGTCCCGACTGACGAAGGACCACTGGCAGCATCGTCATTTTCGTTGAATTTTTGATGTGCCAGCCGAGTGCTTTGGCGTTTGGAAGAAGTCGATCGTCCACTATCAGCCGTGGATGGTCGTGGGTCATCAACTTCAGAGCACAGGTCATTCGGTCCATCCCGTGCAATTAATGTGGTGGGTTTGAGCGAGCGCTTCTGAAGGGAGCGGAGATTTGGGTCTGGTGGCATGCTTCGTCGCAGAAAAGTCTTTTCGAGAAGGCCGATCCATCGCTCACGGAAAGTAGCACGGTCACGCCAGCCAATCTTCAGGATTGCACTAATGACCAACCGACGTAGATCTCGAAGTTTGGGTGCTGCATTCACCAGTGAAGTGAAGAAAACCTCCGCAGTAGCGTCGTCCCATTTGCGTAACTGGATGAGCTCGATTTCTTGAAGCTTCTCTGGCCACGTGGGAATTTCTGTTTGGACAAGTAGATCTTCAAAATGCGGCTCGACATCGTGGTAACTGGACGCATCATGCATAGAAAGGTCCATTTTGAAAATTTCGAGATTCTCACAATATTGAGCCAAATTTTGGATGAAAGACATATTGAGATGACGATTGTGGCTTAGACTGAGCTCTCGGAGATTGGTGCCATGTAAAGACATATAAGCTGTGAGATCCGATGAGCACAATCGATCACAGTTGTTCAGCGTGAGAGAACGGAGGGTATTTGGTAGATTGGTCAGGATCTCCCCACAAACCAATGAGCTTTCAATGAAATCTAGTCGCTGGAGGTCTGTAAGCATCTTAAGAGCTTCAAGGAGGCCAGCCTCTTTCGCAGCGGAAGTTTCTTCATTGGTATGATCGAAGTGCAACAATTTCAGCTCTCGGAGACCCCGAAAGGCACGCTGTGGGTGCGTTTTCACCATCATCTCGACAAGCGCATCAGGTTCTAAGAAGCGGCTGTTCCAGTCCCAGCTGCGAAGGGTAATGCCATGGTTCTCAAGGGCAGAAAAGAGGACGTCTGGATAAGTCCACTTTGATTGAACAATGTGCCATGGAGGTATTCCCACTGTGTAGTCATCTTTGTGATATAGTCGTAACGTGTGTAAAAGAGGCGTATTTTCAATTAACTGAGCAAGGTCGAAGTAGCCGTATGGTCCACTTTTATAAATGAGCACCGGTTCAACTTCAACATGGAGTTGCTTGATCTTGCTAGAGTAGTTCATCGAGAGAGACTCTTGTGGGCGTGCCAACAGAGAAAGGAGCACATGACTCTTGTAGGCAGGAAGAAGGGGGGACAGTAATAGAGTGCAGCGAGCGCTGGCTCGTGAAAGCTTCGACACAGTAGAGCGACGTTGACTAGCCACTTTACAGAATCATTGCGGGCAGAACGGCTTTCATCGAGTAGTGGATGCGATGCACGCAGAAAGATGTCAAGGAGAATATGGTAGGGGAGAGTTTGCCAAGGGGGAATGACACCTGATCCCAGGAATAGTGGGTCATCCCCGTCTGTCTTGGCTCGTTTGTGCAAGACCCTCCCAACTTGACCACTGGGTTTCGATCGTTTAGGTCTCCTTGGCTTCGAGGTAGTTGCAGTACGCCGAGGACCTCTGAGTTTTGGGGGGCAAGTAGGCACAGATCCAGCATCTGGGTTTGGTGCGTCGACTGGTGTAGCTATCAGTGCTTCGGACTCTTGGTCTTCCGCATCTCCATGAAAGCTGGCATCCGTCGAGTCTTCGCGATAGGATTTCGGCATTCGAGTTGTACTGCGCGAGCGAAGAGATAATGAGGCACGCCTTGAGCCGGGCAAACCGATTGATTCATCTTGAGATGAGCTTTCCTCGTGGTAGGTATGCACCTTCGTGCGGCTGGACCGCATAGGGCGAGTGGACCTTGAGCGCGAACCGGAGGGCGCCATGACGGATAAGGTCGCGCTAGGATAAGAGAGTGGGTTGCAGAGACCCGAGCCACATTGTACGCACAATGTCCCGCGCGCAACAATATGAGCAAAATATAGATATCACTAGCTTGTGGAGGCGACCACTCGGCAATTATTCTCGTTCAACTTGACCCTTACGACAGTCCGGGTAAGTCCGGTTTCATTGACGGATGAGGTCGAAGGCGCCAAGAACGCCAAGGTGACAAACTTATCGATAACAGAAGGTGTCAATTGACGCTAATCTTATTGGGGACAAGATCACACGTGATATCCAGGCAAAAACCCCGCCCTCAGGCCATGACGCTAGTCCTTCTTGGGTAGCACTAGATGGCCCCAAAATAGATTCTCAGCTTGAGCTTTAAAGATGGGCGCTTCCAGCCACCTCGAGGGGAAACCTCCTGGAACCCTACACCCTCGGCGCATTGCTCTTCTGAATCTGATTTTCTTCCATTTTTCTTAGTATTCATAAACCGAACATACTGTGTTGAAGATAGCCTACATATATGCCGTGACTCCTGATTTGACGAGAATGACGACTTGCCTATGCGACCTGAGATCCGCATGATTGTTTGTTGCATCGCGCCCCAAGCTCTATTCCGCAATTAAATATAGAGCTCTCTCAATCCAAATCGCCAAGTCTAGATGGAAACATCATTTCCTGTCACGATGGACTCAACAGATCGCTCGAACCGTGGCGAGCTCAACGGGCCACAAATGGTTGTTCAACAATATGCGCGATATCCTCCGACCTTGGAATCGACTTTGCAGAGTGCTTCCTCTCTAGGAAGTGCTCGCAGCCAAATAGATATCAACAAATCGCCTCCCTTACAGCGAAGAGAAACCCCCAGGAGTCTACAGTCTTCCCCAAGGGGCATGCGTTCTGCTATACTCCCATCGTCCGCCAATCGCTCGGGGACATCCATGTCTCCCCCAGCTTTTGATCCTCATCGTCATCAGCCGATGAAAGATCCTGCTGATCAGGCAGATTCCCGAGTTCTTCCCTCTCGGGATATTACTGACGAGACGATTGATGATGCCTATGTATCATTTATATTGTATTGCAATCCCAATGTTCCATCGTCGGTTGACACATCAGACCTGAGAAAGACTTTCCGTTGTCTCCCACGAAGTGATGGGAAAAGCTTCAACATTTTTACCCTATTCGGGCTTATTCGAAGACGGGTGCAGAATGAAGAGTTGAAGACATGGATTCAACTAGCAATTGAATTGGGTGTCGAGCCACCCTGTATTGAAAAGAAGCAGAGCACGCAGAAGGTGCAACAGTACACTGTTCGGCTCAAAGTACGTCTGCCCTCAAGCTTTTGTCCTGTATTCGTCTTGCTAATCTTGCCTAGCGTTGGATGCGTGCTATGCATATTGATGCTTTCTTTGAATATTGTATGGGCATGCCCCATTCTTACTATACACAGCTCCCACCATCTGGCCCTTTCGTCAGCGAATCTCGCGATGGTGTATTATTGGAAGAAGACCTCGCACTCAGAGCACTTGTGCCACAATGGAAGCCAAAGCGGGGAAGAAAGAGGGTTGAAGATAGATACAGCGAGGAAGACAGAGCAATCAAGCGGCCCCAGTTAGATACATCTGTGGGCGCTTTGCAGCAGAGTACTTTTCAGTCCCACTCTGGAACATTCCCGCAGAGTGCGATTCCATTCAGTGCATTTCCAGATGATATGGAGCCAAACGACCCATGGATAGCGGCGACCTCCTCCTTCCCAAATGGTACAGGGCCAGATCAACAAAATCAAGATATACGCTGGAGACTTCCTGACCGGGAGGCCTCTCCTGCAACTTATCCGCAATCTGCTATCATTCCCCGCAGTCATCTACCATCAGATGTCCTCATGTCTGCGGAACCGCGATCGGCAGTAACCCCATCAACTGGTGAAAAGAGCCGGTCTAGAAGACGACATGGCCCTGCTGTTTCATCTGCGTGGCCGAATAGCAACGGCTTGTCAGCAGGGAAAGGCCGAGGAAGACCACCAAATAAAGGGTCATCATCGGGTTCATTTTCTACCTTCCAGGTCAATCCTAGTCGGGAATCATCACAAGCACCTAATTCTAATACTCAGGCTTCTGCACTTGCCATTGACAGAAACCCGCCCCAAATATTTCAGACCCCGCCTCACAATCAGCTTCCAGCATCTATTGTTCAGGGAAGGCCCAATAAACTACAATTGCAGGTTCCTCAGCATTCAGGGGCCCCGATTCGACTTGCCACTCCACCAAGACTAGTAGTGAATGGTGTGAATGGTGCTGTCATCCCCGGGTCTGAAGGGCCCAATGGTTCACGACCATACCCCACCACAGATACTCCAAATAACGGTATCACTACTCAAGCATCTTCCTCCAGTGGGCAAAGCAATGCAACCATCACCCGGAATCCCTCCATTGAGGACATTGTCCATGCTCTTTCTGCAGAGCTACTTCGGGCTACGCTTACAGGGCGGACAGCGACTCTCTCCCCCAATGAGGCGGGTGCTCTGGCCTCGGCGATGGTAATCAATTTGTCTTCATTATATTCACAGTTCCAACTTGGCACTCCTTCGCTGTTACTGGCCTTTCATCTTGGCGTTGGTCATCATTTTGGATTCGCAAGCAGTAACCCAGGTTCACTGGTCATCAAGGTCGAACGTGCCACCCCAAGCAGCGGTGGAAATAGTGGTGCGTCTGGTTCCAAAGAATCATCCAATGGGACTCAGTACATCATATCCCATGAGTACAGAACTGCAAGCCAGTTTTCTATGCAAATCACGCTCGCAAATTTCAATTCTAGTATAGGGGTTACGGATGCGTCTAATCATGCAAACACGAGTACGGACCCAAGTCGTCAGAATATTGACAACAATAAGACGGTGGACCTGGATTTTGAAGATGACGAAGATGACGATCCCAGCCAGTCCATTTCCGAGGCAACATGGAAGCAGCGTTACACAAGGCTCCGTGCTCAGATGCAGAGAAGAGACCAAGCTTTGTCGCAGTACAAGCGAAAGATAGTGGAATCTGTCATGGCAGATATATAACCTTTGTCAGCCAAATACGTCTCGTAGATTCATATCATGATTTTAGCATCGTCTTTTTGCTCATTTGTGGTACATACCTTGTGGCATTTTTCGTGTTTGTTTGATAGGATACCCCTTTGATATTTTCAATCCTACTGTTTTCTTCCACTTTATAAAATGAATCAAATTCCTCATCTCCGCCCCTATGTCAAGGCGGGCTCAAGATTATTTTATACTGATCCCCAGGGAGATGCATGTTACATCCCGACTTTAGACATGACTGATATGACTAATTAGGTTCAATGTTCCTCACTTCGTGTCCTCAATAACCTCTTATTTGAAGAGAGGAAGAAGAGGAAAACCTCCAAAATTCCGAAAGGACCAGTACCAAATTCAGATAAGAAGTAATGTAAAGCCCATATGGTTCACAGCGTTGTATGTTGTACTAGTGTAATGTATACTATGGTCACGCAGGCTGCCTTAACACCCTATCTTTCCTTGGCCCTTGGGGCCTCAACTTCTGAGGCGTCCCCTTACAAATTATATCACTAAAAGAGAGATTGAAATGACATGTATGCTTCGAAAAGGCCGGAATAAGTTGCAGGCAGGCGGTATCTGAGAGAGTTGTATCCAGGTCTTAGTCGCTCATACACGTGGGCACATATTATTCATAACTCGATCGCTCTGGTAATGGGTATGTTTGAGCTTTTGCCTTGTCTTTCAACCGCAAAGCCATGTTATGACGACCTAAACCACACTGCAAATCTGCAATGAAGATACAAAAGTATGCCCTGCGTGACATTGACATCAAGTCTGGGCTGGAGGGACAACCGAGGGCATGGGACGATGGTCTTTAATATGCGTTTCATAAATTTGATGCATTTGATACGTTCCTAGGTTGAGCTTAAATTTCTGTAAAAGCGACTTGTCTCCATTTATTTGAATCCAAATGTATCTGTTCCTTTGGCAATCTAACTGGGATAAAGTCCAATTAGACCCTTACCGCATGTCTATATACTGCTCTTACTGCATTATGTCTTCTATCAAGCATCCAGCTAAGTTCTTGTGAATATGGGATTCCTTGCACGAAACGTGCAGGGATCACGGCAAGATAGCAGGGTTACTTCGCAAAAGCCTTCATTCGACTACCCAATCCTGTTATTTTGTACCTATTTTCCATCATCTGCTGGGTCCCAGATCACCTTTTCCGGCTAATAAATTGCTAATCCACCTGGAAATAGTACATTTCCTCACTCCAGACTTTATCTTAAATCAACTTATGAATGCATGCTAATACTACCAAATAAAACACAATTCCTCATCAAGCGCGTTAATCACACCATACTTAGCGTTCAAAGGAGATTCAAGACAACAAGGGTAAATCAAGGGTACGAGATAATGAGAAAATGAAGGCTCTTCTTGTCTTCAACAAAACCTGGTCAATCTTGGATATTTTCAACTTTCACAACAACAGGCTGATCCTCCAGATTTTCTGTGCTCTTTGTCTTTTCCTCTGTCTGCTGTTCTTCTTCAATCTTTACGATCGGGTCATCCTGGCAAGCTGGAGTGCATGGCTCCCAAAAGGTGGCCGGGGCATAATTGATGAAAGGATTCAATTGTCCAAGTTCCCGGATATCGAAACCGGGTTGAGTAGTAGGCGATGAATAAGGATAACTGGCTGACGTATTCTGGAACTGGTATAGATTCATGGGGGATGACGATGTTGCGGGACTAGGTGATGATATTCCAGGCGGTATACTTGAGGCCTGCTGGAACTGCATCGAGGCAAAATCCTGGGGGATATAATACTGTCCTTCAGTGCTTGTCTCCAACATCAACTGTGGATAATTCTGCAGGAGGTTTTGTTGGTTTGCATTGCCCTGAGTACCCGGCTCGCACTTTACGAAGGGATTCCCCGCAAGGGAAGAATCAGTCGATTCCATGAGAGGCATCATGAGCGGCGGGGCCATTGGGAACATGCTTTGTATCTCCGGGGGCTCTATCGTCTTTCCCTTCTTGGTCTTTCGCTTTGGTTTGCTTGCCCCTGTGTTTCCTTCCATCTGTTGTCGGAAGCGGGAATACCGCATACGAGCAGCGTGACCATTGGATATTTCGACTTCAGAGGCAACCCGATTCCAATCGACCTATCAAATTTGACTAAGTTTAAACCAAGCTTCACCTCATGGTTGGGAAATAAACTGACCGACTTCAGATCCAATTGCTTGATGATTGTGTAGAGAAATTTTGCAGTAGGAGTATCAGTCTCTAGGACCTTGTTCCGCTGAACCATGACTAAAAAGATGATATTAGTGATAGAAGATAAGAATGATGTTGTGAGGACACTGAGAGGTTTCATGAACAGTTTAGATCGGCTATATAACTAGTAAAGAATCAAAAGGATCATTGGGACATGCCAATTGCTTGCTGGTCACATCAATGATTGCTTTGTGCTTTTTTAGCGTAAGAGAGAGTAAGACGTTGGCGAATTACATGTGTCCTAAGACGTCCCATATTGAACCCCGATTTCGTCCTGCAGTATCCCACCTCATTCTTTATACATCTGCTTTGGGTGAGATACGTCAATGAAAAAAAATTTTACACAGGAACAAAGAGATTGAAAGAGAATCGTTCCTCCATTGTAGCTTTTCAGAAAGCATGTGAAGCCTTAATGCTTAGGTCGTTTCATTTAATGTATGCCGTGGGCACGTGCGCTCATAGATGGGTCACGTGATATCTATTGCCCTAGTCTGGTCCATTCAAGGGCATAGAGATAAAATATGTGTACTTCAGCTGTAGGCTTTTGATGAATAGAATAATTCACTATGGACCGTGTGTGGTACTACAAACCTTTATGGTGATTTTTGATGCCAAGGCAAACATTATCATACATATAGTAAGTGACTGGCCCACGCTTTGTATTACATAATATTCTGTCAGCCAAAAGAATCCTACCTAGGTAGTTATTTCAATCATCTTTACTAGATATAGCATACGGTTGAAATCACAACTAAGAGGTTTAGGGATAAAGAGAAAAGTAACCTTTTACTCTCAAAAAACGTAGCTTCAATTGCTATTTTAGGATGTTTCCATTATTGGATTAGGAAGGCGGTGGGGCGAAAGGGTGCAATTACTTATTCCCAGTCACTGTACGTGCAGAGTACCTAGTGCACCTGGATCTGGACTTAAAAGACACGCTGACTAATTTACCCTCACGCAGCCTTTGAAAGCCGCTGTTAATCCTCGACACCATCAAGAGCTTTCTTAAACAGATGATGAATTTATACGAATACTAACTCATTCTGCTTGCAAAAAAAAAAAAAAAATATTTGTCTAACCAACACTATCAGCATGACTTTAGTGGCTGTAGGTGCGTGCTATCTTGACACAATTCTAACGTAAGTTTTTTTCCGCTATGCCTTGGGAGTGGCTTGAATATAGAAAGTCGTATTCACGTGTGTTGATCAGAACCCACCATTACCCAGGTGAAGATGAGAAGCTTCGTGCGTCCAGGATCAGTCACCGGCGCGGAGGAAATTGCCCAAATACTCTCGAGGTACTAGGGCAATTGTTAAAATATAGGCCGTCGAGTACCGAATCATCCTTGAATCTGATTACTGTTCTTCCCTCCAAAACGGCAGTGGCATCTCAACAAATCCAATCAAGTTTAGGGAATATGGTCCGGCTAGATAGTTCCATTTACCGTGAGGCGTTCAGTGAGCCAGCCTCCAGTTACATCATTTCGAGCCAGACCACTGGTAGTAGGACTATCGTTAATTACAACGAGCTGCCCGAAATGACTCGTGCTGAGTTCGCATCTGCTGTTGAGCCCCTACGTGCCCTGACTGATCGACCCTGGTTCCATTTTGAGGTGGGCTAAATATAAGTTAAATATTGGCTAGGTGCTGAACTGGTCACAGCTACGAATAATGCTAACTTGGGCTCAGGGCCGTGCACCAGATGTAACATTGGAATGTATTTATTATATCCGGAAGAACTTTCCTGGGGCTGAGATAAGTGTCGAGGTGGAGAAGCCAGGCCGTCCAGGCTTACAGGAGCTTGCAGACGAGGCAGACTATGTTCTCTATTCAAAGGGCTGGGCTCAGGTGAGATTTAATTTTCAGCTTTTTCCAAGCACCTCTTAACAGTTGGGCAGAACAATGGATATACTTCCGCCGAGGATTGTTTGCGGGATCAATCTTTGAAGATAGGCCGAGCGTAGGCTTTACTGTTCCATTCCCCAGATAAATAGTCTAATCTATCGTTTATAGATCCTTGCTGTGCTGTACTTGGGGCCATGACGGAGCTGCAGCACTTGAGCCAAAGACTGGCAACTTTGCTCATGTCCCCGCGCATACTGAAGGACTGGGAGTTACCGAGTGAGTTTTGGCCTTCTCGGTGTACTAAAGCACAAATTAAGTCATACTGACAGTCTACAGTACCATCGGAGCGGGAGATACATTTAATGCTGGCTTGCTATACGGTCTCATCTACCGGGGTCGGGATTGGGATTTCCGAAAGAGATTAGAATTTGCAAACCTTCTTGCCGGCTTGAAGGTCACCCAAGAGGGCTTCGGAAACCTACACAGAGCCTTGGACGTTCTGCCGTATTCATCAGCCGTTCACTGAACCAGATCCCGTTAGCTCTCTACATCTTGTAATTCAATGCCAAATATTCGTTTCATGCAATAGATTGCCAGTTGTTGCCTATGCTTAGAGTTTAGGCTATTTAATCATAATCGAATTACGGTAAACTGAAGTGCTCTAATGCTCAAGCAAATGTCACCACAATGGAAGATATATATTCAGAGAGAATTTTGGGATCTGTTAAACTTCAGTGTCCTGTTTGAGATAATGAGGCATATGAGATGCGACCCACTAGTTAGTCGATCATATTCTCTAGATCATAAAGCAAGGTATAAAACACAACAAATACATATATGGATTTATCACTTTATTGTTTGGCAGGAAAATAGGGCGGCAGACAACGGCAGATACATCGATAGCCCACCTGGCACGTGACACATCAAGTCTCAGGGCGGTGGGAAACAAAAAATATTCTGCCATCAACTTTTTGATCTCGGCCTTCTTTTGCACGATTAATTTCAATTCCATTTTTTGACACAATCACCAAGCACAATGGCATCGGTTTACAAGAGTGTCTCAAAGAAGTCTGCTAGACAGCCCACCGAGGATATGTCTGACGAGGACATCGAGATGGAGGAGCTCCTCAATGCGGAAGATGACACCACAGATAGCGAAGAGGAAGAGTCCGATGACGGCGAGCCAGCTGAGGTTGTGAAGAAGCAGCTTGCTTCTGGGTTTATGCCCAAGACCCGAGTACTTATCTTGACCTCCAGAGGTGCTTCCTACCGGTATGAACATAGCGCCTTGGGATATATGCTGATCCGGTTGACTGATCTCTGACAATTTGTTTTTCTCTAGCCACCGACACCTGATGGGCGATATCTGCGGCCTCCTCCCCCATGCCCACAAAGAAACTAAGCTCGACACGAAAAAGAAAGCCGCCGGATACAACCTCCTCCTGAACTCTCTTGCCGACCTGCACTCGTGCAACGTGATCTTCTTCCTCGAGGCCAAGAAGAATGGCCAGGATCTTTACCTTTGGCTTTCACGCCCTCCTAATGGCCCCACTATTAAGTTCCACCTGAACAACTTGCACACAATGGGCGAACTTGGCGCTGGATTTGCAGGAAACTGCCTGAAGGGCGGCCGTGGATTGGTTGTGTTCGATCGCTCTTTCGACGAGCAAGGGCCAGACATGGGCGTTCCTGGTAGCGAATACCGTGCGCTTGTTCGGGAGATGCTGCGTGGAGTTTTCTGTGTGCCCAAGCGTGGTGTCAGAGGTATGAAGCCATTTGTCGATCGCATCATCGGTATCTTTGGAGTGGACGGCAAGATCTGGATTCGTGTTTATGAGATTCGCGAGTCTGAGCCTGGCAAGAAGAAGGATGGCGAGGAGACCGTCAAGCCAGTACCGAAGGGCAAGGATGCCGGCCTGCCTGAGGTTTCTCTGGTCGAGATTGGCCCCCGCTTCGTTCTCACCCCAATTGTCATCCTCGAAGGCAGCTTTGGTGGACCCGTCATCTACGAGAACAAGGAGTATGTCAGCCCCAACCAAGTCCGTAGCGACATCCGACAGGGCAAGGCTGGCCGTTACTCCCAGCGCCGAGACGGCCAAACTGATCGGGTGGCCAAGCGCTCCGACTTAGGACTGTCCGAGAACTCTGTGAGGAAGGTGGATGCATTGGACACAAGGAAGTTGTTTGCATAGGGGGTTTATGTTTTTGTTTCGTCGTGCTATTTCTAGACTTGATATCCCTCGGGATGATGTTTCGACTACATGTGTATATTTGATGCGACGCTTTCATCATGGTCCTTCAAGGCGTCCGGGCAAAGTCTCATCCTGGTTAATTTCAAAAGTTGATTATTTCTATCTGTTCCTTGCTCTTGTCTGTTTCGTTGCGATCCCGAGAGCTATTTAGGAGGGTTATCTTTAGTGGAAGGGCAGATTGGTTGGACCCCTGGGCAGACGCACCTGCAAGGGGCAACATTAGCTAAGCGTTATATAAAAACCCTCGACGCCATCCATCGCCTCGAGTCCGTCTTTGTCTCCGGACACCATCTACCATGGCATCATTTTTGTTGGCTAGCCCTACATGGCTACAGGAAAATTACTCTTCCATCATGTTGACTCTTCATTCCACGCTATCTCTTGCTCCTATTAGCCCCAACGGCGGGGTCCATATCTGATAGGCCCACTGTACACGCGACAAGTGTTAATTGCTTCAAACAACATTTGTTTTATACATAAATCCTCGACATTCAATCGTCTTTTTTTCCCTCAAATTACCTGATACAAGTAATAGCCTCTCATCAGTAAGTCGTCACTCATTGACACACTACCTATGAGTCATTCTAATGGAGTTAGTAATCGCATAAATATTTCCATCATGCGAATTGATCATCTTGCAACGGAGCTTCTGCTCCATGTATTCCGTTCATGCGACTCAGTCTCCGATGTCTTGAATTTATCAGCAATCTGCCGTCGACTGCACCACGTCCTCAACTCAACAAGCAAACTACATATTCTAGCCAGGGTCGCGGAGACCGAATTTGGTCCCCTTGAAGATATCATTCAAGTGGTGACGCAAAATGAGAGTCAGCCTGCTCATTTCATCCGACGTGTGCCCATGTCTGATTTCCTTTTGAAACAAGTCATTCAGCTCGGTCAGGTAGCGCAGAAATGGGAGACGATCTACCCGTTTAAGAAGTGGAAGGTAGATTTTGAGAATCGTCGCTCGCTCACCGATGAGGAACGACTACGACTGCGCCGCGCAGTATACCGATTATGGCTTTATCACAGTGCATTCCATTCTCGTGTTTACGATCGTCATTCTCGTAGTCTTCGCCATGTGGTGTTGGAGCGCGCTCAATTGCTCCACAACTGGTCTACCCAAGAGTTGGCCGAGATCGAGGATTTGCGCCTCGTCATGGGTGATATCGTGCAGAATCACATATGTCCGAGCAATGTGACAATTCAACGCAAATTCCGCAAGCGTTATCCAGACAGCAGCCAGCAACTTTCATTCAATATCCACCTCAACTATCCTCCACAGTCAACAACTTCTTTGTCTTTACAAAATAACCCCTTTCTCCAGAATGGCCCTGATACCTCGATTCAACAATACTTTCATACGGCCAACCCGAGTAATTATGCGGAGTCACCAGCCAAATACCGGTCTCGATTTCGCAATGACCTTTCCCATGACCCGGGTTATGAAGGGTGGGGTGACGAGATCCCACATTACTACATTATTCAGGACATGCTGAAGCTTGATCCTGGTCAGATATTATGGTTGCGCGACCACGCTTTGCTGAAGGAACAGGTAGAGGAGTATGTATGGTCTCTAGGTGAATGGTTCCGCAACAACGGTGAAACGTTTGGCGATACGCTGGAATATGTCATGAATGAACGTGGTCTCGAGGTTGGAGAATTTCGATCTGCGGTGGCTGCTCGTGAGATGGGCGTTATCTTAAACTAGATTTGTGTTTGCCGACCTTTTGATTTCCTTTCGAAATACATAATAAACCAATCGCCTGATAGCACTAGAAGTTATGAAATGACATCCATAGGTTGTCCCCGGATCCAGGCGCTAAGTATTAGTAATATGGCGCTATAAAACCTTGGGCCCGGAGAAATAAATTGCCCTGTGGAGCACGTGGACCCTATCTTCGACGCATTGACATCTCCTTACTTCTACGTAAAAGGGGGGTGGAATGAATATATGATTTGGGAATTTTCATACAGAAGCCACGCACCCGCAATGTCAGACGCCCAACAAAGTTCACTGCATCAGCAAATCTGTTCATCATCGTAGAAACATATCAAGCACACCAGCTGGACGAACAGAAGAAAAAGGGATCAATTTCGTCGAGGGCCACGGGAAAATGAACAAAAAAAAAGACGGAAGAAGGGGAATCCGGCAGCTGATAACATCGGTTCCGGACCCCTGTCTTCTCATGTGGTTTCTCTAACAAATCCCGTCTGTGTATCATCTTTGTAGGCGTCGATTTCAGACTCCAACACAGATCAAGACCATCTCAGTATCAAATCGCAAAAGAAGAGTCGTGGCAGTCGGTGCATCGTCCTTGCGAGGGATAACCTAGCAGCAGCCCTGCTTCTGCTCGCTATCTTGCTTGCTGGGGTCGATAACAGGACGGCGGTCGAGGACCTGCTGGCCACCCTCCCCGGAGTCGAGAGCCTTACTGGAAACGATGCGGTAGATTTCTATTGAGGTTAGTATTTTGTACCAAAATAAAAGGAATAGAAAACCGACCTGTAAGGATGTTCTGGAAGGCCAGCTCAACGTTGCTGGCATCGAGCGCGGACGTCTCGATGAATGAAAGGTTGTTCTCGCCTGCTGAGTGTCAGCACCACACAATGAAACTGGTGTTTGGGAAACGCACTGGCAAACTGCTTGGCCTCCTCTGTGGGGACCGCACGCAGGTGGCGCAAATCGCTCTTGTTACCAACGAGCATGATGACGATGTTCGAATCAGCATGGTCCCGTAGCTCCTTCAGCCATCGGTTCACATTCTCATACGTCTGGTGTTTACTAATGTCGTAAACAAGGAGGGCACCGACAGCACCACGGTAGTAAGCAGAAGTAATCGCACGGTAGCGCTCCTGACCAGCGGTATCCCAAATCTGCGCCTTGATTGTTTTGGAGTCGACTTGAATGGACCGGGTTGCGAACTCCACACCGATCGTTGACTTCGAGTCCAGGTTGAATTCATTACGGGTGAAACGACTCAAAAGGTTAGATTTACCAACACCAGAGTCTCCAATAAGCACCACTATTCACTCCACAATATCTCCGCGGTCAGCCTTGGGATCTTCTGGGAGGGGGAGAGGGACAGAAGAGGATGGGCATCAGCATAAGGTGGCGACGTTACCTTTGAAGAGAAACTGTGGGGGTAATTATCATCAGCATATACTTCTGAAATCTGAAGGAGCTTGTCGTCCTAAATAAACTCACGTCATATTCGTCGTTGGCCATTTTGGATGTGATCGAGCTAGTAGAGCTCGGAAAGTGGTATCAAAGTGAAGGTAAACGTGGCGGATAATGAGAACTGAGGGGAGCACTTAGAAACTTGAGAGGGCGAAAGCGAGATACGTCAGTACTGAGCTCGTAGCCGGCAGCAAGGAAATTAGGGGAGCACACACAAGGGAAGTAATAGAGAATCAACAGGGGATAGTCAGCGATGCCTGGGCCGAGTGTCTCCCCTTAATCATGCCCACCCATTGTGGCTTAGTGTGGGGATCACGTGTGTTGGCGTCTGGCGCGCGGGCGGTATCTCTTATCTATGGGCAGAAACATCAACTTTGTTCATATTCTTGCTCGCCTTGCTTTTGATTTTACTCTTATTAGCTTGCTATTTATCCCATAAACTTAAGCGTGTTCAATGAATATGACATACGGTAGGCATGCGCTCTATTTTGATACCCCAAGCCCCCACAATTCAGTCTCATCAAGCACTGTCATGATTGCACCTTGGGCATAAGGCATAAGGCATTGAAAGCTGCACAATGAAACATTTGTTGACTTAATTTACTAGGATACTACAATGGTATCAGATTCTGAAATGAACTATGCCTCTGATCGAAGTGAAGTTGGTGATGCCGACTCTCTAGCATCTACCACAGAAAGTGAAGAGGGAACCGAGTACCTCGTGAATGACATCCATGCAGAACGGAGGTTCTACGTAGAACCGGATTCCGATGATGACGAGGGTGTCTTCATAACTCAATATTTAGTCGAGTGGGCCGGGTATAGCATGGACAGGTGCAGTTGGGAACCGAAGGAAATGTTTACTTCTGAAGAGACTCTAGATGGTTGGGAAGAGAAAAAAAAGCAGATCGCCGAGGGTAAGGTGACTCCTTTCGATCTCAAGTCATGGGAAAAGCATACGGCTTTGGTGGAGAAAAAAACAAAAAAGCGAAAAGAAGAGCGAAGGCGCAAACGAGAGCAACGAGCACGGCGAAAAAGCCTCCCTAAGGTTGACTCGCCCCGACTGGCCAATCTCGATAATGTAGATGCCCGTGAGCCTGAAACACGTATTGCATCTCACCGAGCTTCCAGTCGCCTCTCCATTGATTCCAATGCTTCGGCCTTGTTCATTCCAGCTGAAACACCACCCTCATCAAAAACGGCAACGCCTCGTCAACCGCAGCAACAAGTAGCACCTTCGAGATCAACTACCGCCAGTGCGCAATCATCTGGGAAAGAACCTCTGGGATCAACAACCTTGATTGCACAAACTCAGAAAGCCCCAAGCCGGCTTCCAAACTCGCGACTTGCTCAGCTCGCAAAGAAGATTACACTCAAGCAGAAAGCCTCGGTACGCCAAAAGAGCCCCCCACAAGCACCAAAGCCAACATTGTCTTCTTTTGGTACGGGCCCGGGGGTAAAGCGCGCATACCGTGATACGAAATGGGGCGAAAGAGCACCGGATTTGTCACAGATGGAGCTGATGAAGCCTTCTGAATTCGCACCAAGAATGAACATAGGCTCCACCACATCAGTCGTAGGCCCATCTGTAACAAGTTCCAAATCCCCTGAAGCCCAAAATCAACCTGCTTCTGAGAACCCTGACAGCCTGGCCAATCGACTAGAGCCACATACTGTTCAAGCAAGCGATAATGCTGCAGAGCAACCAAAGAATCCTGTTGTTCTTGCATCCTCATCAGCTATGGCCCCTCCAGTACCTCGGTCTTCGAACTCAGGCTTCACTACGTCCGTTTCCTCGTCGGCTGTGTTATCTGCACCCAGTGCACTGCCGAATCTAGAGAGACCTGTTGGTCCTGTAGATTCCACTATCTCGATTTCCTCACAACCTACCCAATCAAATCTAGTTCCACAGGCAAACCTCACTCACCCTGCCGATTCTGCCGATCCTATTGTCTCTACTGTTTCGCGGCCAAGTGAGACCTCTTCAACGAATCCTGCTGGGCGATCAGCATCTGCCCTTACTGGACCTTCACCAGCTCCTTATCCCCATCACCCATCACAAGTCAATATCGACACGCCTACCGGTTCTTCGGCGTCTACCAGCTCGATCTTCCCCTCGGTTGCGCCTTTGGAGGCTCTTGCGGAGGCTACATCAACGAAACCTGGTAGACTCTCGGGCTCTAAACTTGCTCTCTCGCCAGCCATCCCGACCAAGCCCCGTGCAATGATCAGCCCCGAGAGGCGTACCGAGAATCAAAACTCGCAGGAGAGCCATGAGACGGTCCGGCATTGGGATAGCTATAGACCGGACAGCTATAGACCCGACTCATCCCGACAGCCTAGAACAATCTTGGCGGATACCTACCGACCGTCAGAGCGATCTCGTCGGTCATCGCCCTCACGTTGGTCATCTCCACCTCGACGGTCATCTCCACCTCGACGGTCATCTCCACCTCGACGGTCATCTCCACCTCGACGGTCATCTCCACCTCGACGGTCACCACCCTATCGACGGTCACCGCCATCCCGAAGGTCACGATCCCCGGGCTCTCGCGGGTCATCACCTCCGGGTCGACTGTCAAGGTCTTCTTTCCATGTAACAGGCGGTGGTTCTGCGTCTCGTAGCCCGTCTCCGAATTATTCGCCCCCCTCAAGATCTTCAAACTCAATCGGGTTGAATGGAAGCATGTTAGGCAATGTTGAAGCATTTGCGAACACTGAACCTAGAGCCGGAGCGTCTGCTCAAACTAATGCTTCTATCGCGGCCGAACTTGTAAGAATGTCTGCGCGTAAAGGTGCGGCCGCCCATTCGCCTCAAGTTTGGTCCATACTGGTGCTATAAGGGAGAAGCTCTGATTCACGTGTTTGTCGGGCCCAACAAGAGACCCTTCGGTGCTTTTAGATTATGCGGCATCCGTCCAGCGGTCCAGCAATCTTTGATCTTTGCCAAGAACCCGAACACACACCAGGTTGAGGTTTGGTTCAAGCACCTATGTACAGTCAGAGACTACGAAAGATTGTGCGAAGCTAGTGTTAGTACCGATTATATAGATCTATCTCTCGTATAATGCTAACATCTGCTACAGGAAACGAATTCTGTGTTGAGTACCGGCTGGATCGAGGGCTTTAGCGACACCAACAACAATCTGCATGATCTCGCAGAGGATTTGCGAAAAGACGACCTCATCGCCATTCACTATCCTATGGCGAAAAGAAGTGGACCGGGGATTGCCTGGGTTGCTTGGTCAAGCGGGTCACAGGAGTTCAAGTCTCCACGTCCTAATGATGAAGTGCCACCTGGCGTTCCTCTACTCATTGCTGCTCGCACTATGCTTGCACCGATCGAGATTTTGCAAGCAATTGAACCTAGCCAGCCCGGGGGTCAATCCCGTGGCTTTTTGCCCGATACATCGCTTTCATTGCGCGTCGAGCCACCTAGTTCAGATCATGGCCTAGAGTCTGGAAACCTCCCAAGACAATCAAACTTATATGATACGAGGATGGGTGGACTTTTGCAGCCGCGCGATATGCCGGCCCTAGCGGTCCAAAGCTTTCCCGCAAGTGAACTCAAGCAGAGTTTAATCTGCGCTAACCCTCCACGCCAACTTCAAACCACAGGTCAAGCGGATCAAGATCAAGCGGGTTTCCAAACGATTGATGAATTCATGAAGAAAACCCTTAAAATCGATGTGGAAGAACTTGCGACAATTGAGGAAGGCGGGAAACCTTCAAAAGCAGGTATTTTCTACCTGCACTTTCCCTCGGGCAATCAAGAGGTACAAATGGAACTGGAGCTTCTGCACGCACACCTGAAATATCATGAAAAAATTGTTTTAACAAGCGAGAATTCTGGTGATTGGGCAAAATTTGTGCAGAACAGCAGACAGGGCGTGGCCATTGTATGTGACAGATATTTACACGTTTACAATTGCCAAACTAATCAGCAGTAGTTTCATGAAACATTCGTCGGTTATGATACGTTGCAGCCTCCACTCAATTCTGTGCTTCCACTCAATTCGTTCAATTATTGGATTGTTCGCATTCGCAGACCACTCGAACTAATCGATCCCCGATATTGTTCGCCCAGTGACCACCATCTACGCATATTTCCATATGGCGGTGTCATCCTACTCACCGAAGACGTGTTGACAGACCTCAAAGGGGTGGCTGTCACTCTCCAATGGATTCGGAATGCAAACAGGAACAAACGAAAATCTTGGACGTTGATGTTCTTCCCCGGGATACTTGACTGGATCGAAAGGAGACTCGATGATGAAAATCACTCGCAAGATCATGGACTGTATGTCATACCTCTTTACTGCTATTTGATTCAAGCCTCTAATGAAACCTGTATGTAGTCTGCTGCTCATCCGCACGTTGATTATCAAGAACAACGTCACAGACCCCCGCACAACCGTGTTCGATGAAGCCAGTCTACAACTCAACTCGAAAAGCAACGTTATCGCACCCTCTCTTGATGAATACGGTACTCGCACAGAGCACCACGACTTGAAAATCGAGGGCAAAATTGAACGCGACGCAGATCACCTGATTGAATTCTTCGCAGGGTGGTCACTGATTAACATACCACGTTTCCGGAACTTCATTGCGGTCACGTCTCTCAATCCCCCGCTGGAGCACGATGGGGTAAATGGGGCCATGTGACTGTCATGCGAGGTGGCTTTGGCCATTTCTTCAAACGGTTCAAAGTCGACTCGGTGGGTCTGATGGCCTACCTGTCAGGGTCAGGTGACTCTAAGCCAGTGCCTTCCACTAGCCAAGTAGCTACCCCATCGAGCGCCACCACGCCCCAGACGCCTAATTGGGCACCTCACAACTCCAACGCCTCTATTCCATCTACCTTCGCCGACAATCCGAATGGCAATGGCACAAACAAGTACCCTGCTCCCTACAAATGATTCTTACGAAGTTCCGACCAAAAGCAAGTTACACCGCACATACGTATGGTTGTACATATTCGTCTTCCTCTTCTTGCAGTCTCTTATGATACCCTTGTTCTTGTATGCACTATGTTTAGAGCTCTATGAGACCACGAAGTGAACCAAATCTCAATCAATGTCTACCCCTGTACCTTATAGCCATGTATACTACTCTTGTCCGATTGTGTTTGGAATCGAGACCGAATGCCCAAGCAGTAACGGGAGACCTATCACATGTATATTCGGTATTTACAAAATTATAGCTTTGCTAAACTACACGCTAATTGCCGCCAATGCAACTGATAGGGAGAACACCACCTGGAAAGATATGATGAATAATCGCCGGGGTTGAGATCAAAGTATACCATTTACACTTAACCAGTCGCCCGGTTCCGATACTCCTGGAAGTCCGACACATTCGAGCCATCCGCACCATCTTGCATTGTAGTCTTTTGATACTGGTCTTTCTTCTCCTCGCGGTTCTTTGCTTCCCACTGACTTTCCTCGGCTGAAATCATAGCATTGAAACGCCCACCCTGTCCACGGGCAAGGTAGATGGGCTGTTCTTTGCGCTCGGCCGCAGCCTGGTTCACGAGGACGAATTTCACGCTCGAGCCGGGCGCTTCAAACATTGCATCACTGAGAATGGTCTCCATTTCGGTGCGTAGCGCGCGTGCGCCAGTGCCCATTGCCAAGGCATTGGCAGCGACCTTGTGGAGTGCCGGTGTGGTGAAACGCAGCTCAATACCCGAAAGGGAGAATAGGGTCGTGTATTGGGCTAGAAGGGAGTTACGGGGTTCGGTGAGGATGCGCATAAGTAAGGGTTGAGATAGTGCAGAGAGAGCGGCGGTGACGGGAATCCTGCCGATAAGCTCTGGGATGAAGCCGTAGCTTTGTAGGTCTGAAGGTGTTAATAGGTCAAGTGCGTTGAAATAGGTTGGCTCGGCGCCAGAACCGGCTGGCGAGGCAGAGGAGAAGAAAGGGAGGTGCTTCTTATATAGCGCTTCTTCCTCAGATCCTGGGAGGATTGGAAGTGGCTGGTTGGTAGAGGTATTTGGCGAGCCAGGGAAATCAGTAGTATTCGAGGGGCTCCGAACTGGCTGACCAAATCCGATGGAACCACGGGATATTCGATCCATGATAAATTTGTGCAGTCCAACGAAGGCGCCAGAGAACACGAATAAGATGTTGTCCGTGCGCACATTGTACACTTCTCCCTTGGTGGCTGGGCTGGGGTTGTGGGGTTGAAATGACCCATTACCCAAGGGACTGTTGGAGGGATAGCTATTCGGAGCACTAGTTGCACGAGGATTCTTCTCCGGCTTGGCCTGGACCTGCACGGTTGTGCCTTCAATGATCTTGAGAAGCGCCTGCTGTACTCCTTCACCACCGACATCTTTGCCATGACTGACCTTTGCAGCTGCAATCTTGTCCACCTCATCAAGGACAATAATTCCACGCTCGGCCTGCTCCACGTTGTAGTCTGCAGCTGCCAAAAGTCGGTGAACGCACACTTCTGCGTCCTCTCCAATGTAACCGGCTTGGGTGAACACGGTGCAGTCGGAAATACTGAAAGGCACAGAAAGCACCCGAGCAAGTGTCTTTGCCATGAGTGTCTTCCCTACACCAGACGGACCAAGTAGCAGAATATTGGACTTCTCAAGCTGTAGCGGTGACGTATCGGCGAAATCGGATTGCTCTAAGGGGGTGTTCGTGCGGGATTTGGGCGGTTGAGGTATGCTGGTTGCTTTATGCACGCCTATGATATCATCTATAGCGTTGAGTAATAAATCAGCAAATGAGTGACAACATCGAGAACCAGTAGGTGAGTTGATATACCGTCTAAGGGATGAAACTCGAGTGCTTCCCTCCGCTGACGCTTCGCGAGAGCTTCGGCTGTTTCTTCCTCCCGGCGCATTATTTCTTGCACACGTTGATAGTGATTGAATACAGCGACACTGAGCACCTTTTTTGCACGATCCTGACCGACGACATATTGATCGAGATACTGCTTTAACACTTTCGGTGTGATGCGGGGTGCGCCAAAAGCCGGAGTTGATCCTAATGGCCCGATAGTAGGACCCCCAGTTTCACAGCTACCAGTAAAGGGCTGACCTGTGAATTCTGACCGGTTGAATTGAGACGAGGTGGGAAATGTGCAGGAGCTAGACAATTGGCGTGTGGGCCAGCTGTATGATTGAGTAAGCCGAGACCGGACAATTTCAGGACGAGCCAAGGTGGCCGGGAGGCGACGTCGTAGATACCACCACAGCATTGCTGGGCTCCAGTTAATGTATGGGGGGTTTATGGGAGGTGGACGGAGAGAGCCCAGGAGTCGCAAACTAAAGAAGGAGGATTGGAGAACGATGGATCAGATATCGGATAGCCCAAGGTTCCCCGCATGGGGGCATCTTATCTGATGAGTCATCGGGCCGATGCTGGATTGGCTACAGTAAGTTTTAACAGCCAGTGTGCCATAACGGATCTTAGCCGTAATATATCCTGCAATACGATTTTACACATCTGGATAGACTAGTTTGATGCCGATCCTCTCTCCTATGTTGTACATAGAAGAGTCATCTACGCAGTCTATGCTACTTTCTTGTCCCTACCATCGACGTAGAAAACCGAGAAAGCAAACAAAGTACATAAGACTACTAAAAAGACTAAGGGCTGTACATTACGCCGCATAAGCGGCCAAGAATTCTTAGCTCTATGAAATTTCAAAATCCAGGTCCAATCCTTGATAGCCAAGTCCATGGTGATTGAATTCTATATGCTTAATTTGCCGATGCTTAATTACTTAGTGCCTACAATTCTCTATACTTTTACATTCCGAATCTCGCTAGCATATCATAGCTCTTTATTTAATCCGTACAGAAACCTTCCAGTGAAAATCGAGTAATTGACTACGGGAAAATCTGTTGTGGCGCACTGGCGGTTAAAAGCGGTCGTAGACCCGCTATCCACGGTTAAATCTATATATAAGAGTTAATCGAAGCAAATCGAGAGCTATAGTTGATGCTCGAAACCTGCAATATCTATTTCACAAGCAGTATCTCAGATCATGCGGCTGTGAGGCTAACTCAGAAAACATGGCGACACTCAAATACAGGGAATATGGAACTAACGCTGCCGTCACCCAGGGACATATCAAGTCTACACTCCATCTCTCGCTAGTCAGGTTGCACCCACTTGGCTGGCCGACGCAAGAAGTAGGCTCAAACAAGGCCTCGGGTGCCCAACTCATCTGGTTCAGTCCGTGGAGGGCAACAACATGGCGCTTATCTCAATAAGCAGATGCCTTGTTTTTAACAATCGTTTGGAGAAAACAATCTTCCTATTTGGGTTCTCAAGCAGTGATGGAATTTGAAGGGGCTTTTTCATGTCCTAGAAATGGTTGGGCGGCAAGTATTGCGATGATGCGGAATTGTACTTGAGAACATAAGCTGCGGAGAAACATGGCTTTTTCGGGATGTTGAAAAGGCTATAATATGTGAGTTGTAAACTCAGTTATGATTCCTACGGGTAGACAGAGCATACAATAGTAGAATAGATACATATCTTTCATGACAATGATGGGTAATTAGTTCTTGGTTTCTAATGCCGAAAGCTGCTCGATAGCCTCCGAGACCCTAGAGGCCGGAAAGCGGTGGGGTCCCCATGAATAGAGGAATGCTTGGGGCGCAAGACCTGCTTGAAAGGAAGGTGTAGGGTTTCACCGTTCAAATCCAATACAAGCAGGTGTTTCTATCGTATTTTGGTTGAGGGCGGTACACTCCAGTGTATTCGCCTGAGCTCAACTTGTCGAAGAGTCCTTGGATGCATTTTTTGTCGCGTCATTGCCGGAGTTGGCTTGATAGACAGATTTTCACGGCTAGTGGAGACCACAATGGCTCGGTCAACGAGAAATTATTCTTCTCATGTTGGCCGCCCTTCTTATTTATTCGCCTTGAACACAGGCTGTTGTTCCATCGTCTGTGAGATGAAGTTACGCAGGGCCGACCACCGACCGGCCGTCGGATTTGACTCGGTGCTTGCTTCGCCGTTGTTGGCAACCGAGGCTGATGTGATGTTAGACATCTCGGTCAAGTTCTTGTTGAAGCGGTCTCGCTCCAATTTCTCGACTTTTTCCCGGCGCTTCAGGGCACCTGGCTTGTGTCTCAGAGTCTTCTGCTTGATCACGTTTACTTGACTGGCGGCATCGTTGGATTCTTCGGCCTCGGGCAAGGCATCGGCCAATGATTCGAGATTGGTGACAAGTTTTTTTGATGCTCGTCGGCGCTTGGGAGTCTTTTGAGAATTTTTCTCGATCTTAGACACGAGGGCAGCATGCTTGATCTGACGCTTATCCCTTTTGGTTGTGCGAAATTCGTCACCAAACACACTGGGTTTGGCTATCGCGCCTCTGCCCGAGATAGTTTTCGTTGATTTGCGGATAGGAGCCTGTGAAGATGGAACGATAATTAACCGGGCTGAAAATGGAAGATAAGTAATGCAGCTTACCATGTCGGCATGTGAGATCTACAGAGAGCACAGTAAAAGACGAAATTGCGACGGGAAAAGCGAAAGGCCGGCTCCAAAGCTTCACCGCCCGAATCCACTATCCCCACCCTTTTTTCTAGGAACTCAACGCTGTTTGGCTCCAACAGACTAACAGGCTCCCGAGGTCAGATCAATAAATAATATTTGTCAAAAGGCCAAAAAAATAAAATCCGTGACGTTATCAGCTTTTAGTTGTTGCCGAATTTCGACGTCCTTCTTGTGACATCAGAAGTGATCAGAAGGCGATCTCGGAAAATTTGACACGAGGTCCCAACACGATAACTTGTATGGATATACGCCTCAACCTACGTCGGATTTGCGTTCCTCACTCTACCATATTTCTACCTCGGTCAGCCCGGTTCCAGACCCGATTCATAAGTCCACCTTTGCCCCCGCCGAGTTATTCTTTGCCTCTTAAATCCACCTTCTCCGGC